AGTAGAATTACTTTTTAACTTAAAGAAGAAATAAAGACATCCCAAGACAGGAAGAAACTAAGGCATTTCATAGCCACTTAGCTTACAGAGGATATTTATAAGAATCCTACATACAGAGGAGGATGATAGTCACAACATGATAGCACAAGAAAGAGAAAATTCCATGGCAAGAACAGATAAATAGATAAAAATTAGGAAAGAGTCAAACACACCCATCTGAACAAATCAGCAAGCCCCAATGCCTCATGAAAATACTAAACAGTTTTCAACTAGAAAAAGAATAAATAAAACTACAGCAAATAGAAAGTATATCTCAATAATAGTCCTGAATATTAGTGGTCTCATATCTCTAATTAAAAGACATACACCAGATGATTGAATCAGAACACAAGAACCATTTGCTGGCTGCAAGAAAAACATTTTCACTGGTAAACACACAGAAAAGCTGAAAATCAAAGAATAGAAGACTATAAACCCTACATCAAGAAGATGCAGAAAACAGGCAGAATTGGCCAGTCTTACATCTGATAAAGTATATTTCAAAACAAAATTAGTAACAAGAGATAAAAGACGTCATTATATGCTACTAAAAGAAAATATCCATTAAGAAGGTGAGAAAATTTAAAGATATAGGTTCAGTGTTGAGGCATCTAATTTCATAAAATATACTTAAAAAGACAGATGGGGTTGCATACAATAATACTGCATTGATTCAATTCCCTACTCTCATCAACAGATAAAACACTCAGCCCAGAAAAATCTACAAAGAAAGCTCATTGTTTGACTGTACTGTAAATCAAACATATCAAATGGGTTGATTGAACAGATATCTGCAGAATACCCTACCTATCAGCTGTGAATATGCGCTGTTGTCAGAAGCCCATGGAACTTTCTCAAAAACAGATCATATTTTGTGCCATAAAGCAAGTCTTAAAAAGTAAAATACATTTCTTAAATTTTATAAGCTCACAGTAGAATAAAACTAAAAATCAATAGCAAGAAAAGCTACCCATATGGGTGGGTAATAAATAATATTCTCTTGAATGATCAATGTGTCACTGAAAGAGTCATGGAGGAAATTAAAAAATTCCTAGAGTCAATAAAAATAAAAACATGATTTATTGTAACTTTTAGGACACAGCAAAGTTAGTTCTAGTGGACATGAATTAGTATGATATTCTACACGTAAAAATCAGGGAAACCTCAAATACATAACTTAATGGTTTACCTCTTAAAAAAAAATAAGCCAAGCCAAAATGTAGTAAATGAAAATAGATTATAAGAGTAGAACTGAAGTCAATAAAATGAAGAATAAAGGACAGAAAAAAAAAACAATCAAAGGTTTGGTTCTTTGAAAAGATAAACAAGTTCAATAAAGCCTTAGTCAAACCTACTGACAGAAATAAAAGATCCAAATTAATAAAAGTGGAGATGAAAGGGGGGAGATTGCAAAATAAAAAAGAAAGTAAAATCCGATCCCTAGGAAATGCTTTGAAAACATATTCCAAAAGTCTGGAAAATCTAGAAGAAATAGGTCAATTCTTAGACACACATGACCAAGAAAATGTAGACATGTAAGCAACTTAAACAGATCCATGACAATCAATAAATTGAAGAGCAACAACCACCACAACAAAAAGTCTCCCAACTAAGGCAAGCCAAGAGCAGACTAATTCACCACCACATTTTCCCAGAGCTTTGCAGAAGTGGCTCCAGTGTACCTCAAATTATTCCATACAATAGAATGAAAGGGAACCCAAGTGAACCAATCCTATGAAGCCAGGATTACTCTGACAGTGTATAAGGAGCCAATAAACAGTTTACCCAGCTACAGGCCCATTTTTCTGATCTGATTCCAAAAATTATCAGTAAAATACTTACTAATCAAAAAGACAGTGGAAAGATTGTGTGTCATAACAAAGTTGTTTCATTCCAGAGATGCAAGGACAGTGAGTCACAGACAGATCAGTACATGTAAAAGACACAGATGGACTAGGGACAGAAATCACTTATCATGTCAACAGATGCAGAAAAGACCTTTGATAAAGTTCAGGACGACTTCAAGATAACAGCTCTGAAGAAACCAGGAGCAGAACAAATGGATATCAGCAGAATAATGACTATATCTGACTGTAGGTTCTGTGCTCACCGATAAGCACCAGGGAAACCACCGGGAACGGAATGTGACGTCTGCACATTCTCCTAGCTCCCCTAGACCTCTATCTTGAGATTATTTAACTCAGTCGATCTGTATATCACTATCTTCCCCCCAGACCCCTATCATGAGCTTGCTGACCTGGAGCCTGCTTTCTGAGTTAATCTACAGAACCCATTTTTATACAAGTGTTTACTTGTACTTTGTAAGAGTTTTAATGTGATTGTGTCTTAAGCTTTGGTGTGCACTTGCGATTGGGTTAATTATCACCAGGAAGTTTTTTTTTTTTCTAAATTGCGTTGTGCTAAAATATACCTAAAATAAACTACCTGGCATCAGACGCTTGAAGTTTGCAGCAACAAACTTGTTGAACCAAATGTTGAATCAAATTCCTTTGTGCCTCCTCTGTCTCAACGCTCTGCTGGTCCTGGTGTTTGCAGAGACCCCCACTCGTGACAACAATACAGCCAGCATGAGATCAAGTGAGGAAAAACTGAATTTCCTAGAAAAGTGAAAATGAGAAAGCAGTGTGTGCTTTCTCAACTCTTACTCAATCCAGTGCTGAAGTCGTAGCCAGAGTCATCACAAAAAAATGAAAAATGAGCCGGGCGGTGGTGGCGCACGCCTTTAATCCCAGCACTCGGGAGGCAGAGCCAGGCGGATCTCTGTGAGTTCGAGGCCAGCCTGGGCTACCAAGTGAGTTCCAGGAAAAGGCGCAAAGCTACACAGAGAAACCCTGTCTCGAAAAAAACAAACAAAAAAAAAAATGAAAAATGAAAGCCATACAAACAGAAAGAAGCCAAATTATCCCTGCTTGCCGATGACATGTTCCTATATTGAAGTGCCGGAGTACCTCTACCATAAAATTCTTGGATGTGATGAGAGATTTCAGCAAAGCAGCAGGTCGTAAAATCAACAAACAAATTACACTAGCTTTTCTGTATGTCAACAGCAAGAAGGAAATCGGAAAGTAACCTCATCCATAACAGCTGCAAAAGTTACTTAGGATATGAGTGAAATTCTTAAGAACTAATAGAAATATATATAAAAACATAATAATAAGAAAAAAAATTAAGCTTCATTGAAAGAGTACTCAAATTTTAACAAACGACTTTTAACAATGCAGTGAAGCTTTGACTGACTTTTCCAACCCAGATGGATATAGACCTCCTATGGTCATTGATAGGCAGACATTATTGATAGTGAACATTATAAACATTGCCATATTACCAAAGGCAGCCTGCAAATTTAATGTGATCCCCATAAAAATTCCAAAGATGGTCTTCACAGAACCAGAAAAGAAAAACAATATTAAAATTCATATGGATGTACAAAAGACCCCAGATAGCCAAAGCAAACCAGAGCCAAAATGAACAATGTTAGAGGTACCACAACTGCTGATGTCACATTATGCTACAGATTCACGGTAACAAAATCAACATGGTGCTGACACAAACACAGAGTGCCGACCAAGGAAATAGAGAAGACCCAGTAGTGAGCCAGCTTCAGCCATCTGATTTTTTACTATATATATATACACATATATATGTATGTGTATATGTATATGTATATGTTTATATGTATATATACATATATATGTATATATATACACATATATATGTGTGTGTGTGTGTATATATATATACACACACACACACATATATATGTGTATATATATATATATACACACACACTGGGGGAGAAAAAAGCAATCTTTTCAACTAATGGTGCTGGGCAACCTGGATCTGCACATGTAAAATAAAACCAGATTCCCATCGCTACCTGGTGAAAATATAGATTCAAAATGCATCAAAGACTTCAAAACCTGAAATTTTAGTACTCCTGGGGAAACACTTCACGACCCGCACGGAAGCACAGGTTTTCGGAAAAGGATTCTGACAGCTCGGGAAATAGTAGTGAAACTTGACAAATGGGATCACGTGACGTTAACACGCTTCTGAGCAGTGAAGGAAACGGAGAGTGAAGAGAGGCTGGGATTGGGAGAGCAAGCCACAACAAACACTGATGTGGAGTGAGAGAAAAAGAAACCTACAGAGACCATTGAGAGTCGTGAAAATCATTCAGCTACTATGAAAATTGTTACCAACGTTCCTGAGAAAACTAAAAGGACTACTGTATGATCCTGTCACATCACTCCTAGGATCACACTTGAAGGAATCTAACTCAACCTATCACAAAGACATCCACACACTAATGTTTACTGCAGCACCGTCTGCGGCAGCCAAGCTACAGAAGCAACCTAAGTGTACGACAGCAAGTAAGTGGACAAGGAAACTGTCGCATACTTACATCATTTGATTCGTTCATAAAAATGAAATTATGTCATTTGGAATAAAAATTGATGGAACAGGAGATGACATGAAATGAAATAAACCAAACTCAGAGAGCCAAGTATTGCATGTTTTCATTCACATGTGGGACTTAGATTGCACACGCACACACACCACACACACACACACACACACACACACACACACACACACACACACACACACACTGTATATATGATATGTACACACAAAGGAGACTATTTACACGGAGGAAAGACAATCCGGGGAAGGTCAAGAGAGAGTAATGAAAGTGAAGCTCATCAAAGTACATGATATTGAAGAAAATGCCACAGATTCAATCACTTTGTATCATGAATCTATACTGATGAAATTTGGGAAAATTTATACTTGCCGTGGTTATTCCTTTATAACAATAACTAATGATAAAGTATGGCCATTTTCTAGATTTGTAACTGAATTAAGAAGGATCCAGTTCTGCCAAGGAGGGTTTCTTCAAGTCCTCATTTGATTGATTGATACAGCCATCACCTTACCCAGCCAGTGCCTTCAAACATTTTGAGGTCCAAAGGGTCTCCTTGGATGGTTCCGTCGAGAAGGATCAGGGAGTGGCAACTGGCCATGGCTGCACACAGTGGGCCCCAGGGCATAGGCTGGCCTGAGGCAAAGCTGTGGACGGCCTGGAAACTGGTTAAGAAGATCGTGTTAGAACTTTCAATAAAAGAAGTTGCATGATCTGCCCCTTACATCTTACCAAGGCAGCACTCCAACTAGCCGACCCTTACCCTTGCCCCCTGCAGTGACTTTCCCATAGTCTGCACCGCTGCTTCTTAAAACTCTGAGCACAGCCCGTATGGGATTGAGTGAAGGAAGGTGGGGACTGGAAAGAATATGGCAACAGTTAAATGTTTCTGGGTGTCAGCAACCACAAAATGAACTCAAAATCAAATGTGTAATGAACCCAAGATGTTTTGTGCAGTGCTTACCTGTGTGGCCTCCCATGACTTCACTGCACTCTTGGTTCTGAACACACAACATGCCCAAGTGGCATGGCGCATGCCAGCATACCAGGCAAAATCAAGGAACAATGCCCAGAACACCTTGGCTCAGAACATAGACTACTGTTACATTATAAGTTGCAGAGCTTGTATATACGCACACAGCTATGGAACATGATAGTTTCATCATGAAAAACAAAGACTTTTTAATATTTTTCTGCTGTCATTCCTTAGCATGTATTAAATTAGTATAACTTTTGGTGGTATTCTATTAGAATATTTGTTTTAAAATTTGCTATGCGAGTTGCTTTGTGTTGTGTTGTGGAATATTAGTTTAACATGAGTCACATTCGTTTATGCTGTGGGATATTTGTTTAATGAGGCAAAGATGGGTTGCATTCTTTTATGTTGCATTTGTTTAACTCTGTGAAGCCGGGTTATTTTGCCTGCCTAAAATATCTGGTTGGTCTTAAAAAGAGCTGAATGGCCAATAGTGAGGCAGGAGAGGGATAGGTGGGACCGGCAGGCAGGGAGAATAAATAGGAGGAGAAATCTAGGCTCCAGAGAAGAAGGAGTGAGAAAAGGAGAAAGAGAAGAGAATGCCAGGGGCCAGCCACACAGCCAGTCATGGAGTAAGAAGGAAAGACATATAAAATGAGGAAAGGTTAAAAAGTCCAGAGACAAAACATAGTTAAGGAGAAATGGGATAATTTAAGTTAGAAAAGCTATCTAGAAACAAGCCAAGCTACATACCTGGAGCTGCATACAGATTTCTTGGATGAAAGGGATCATACTCAGGCACAATCTGAGCCACCTGCTAATCAAGGCTACCTGCCCCTAGCTCTAACTCATCTTACAGCTGCTCATCCTGCCAATATCCTCATGCCCTGAGTCTAGAGCGAGACTAAGCTTCTTGTACTGTCTCTCCTTGTTCAGGGATTTCTCTGCTCACGGTCCTCTGCTTACTTGGGGATTTTCAATTTTCAACCACAGTATTCTACCTGGAGAGTAAAGTTTACACAACTCTTCTTTGAGTTGGATATGGATTTTCCCTTCAATATATAGACTGCCACTGGTCAATCAAAAACCAAATTTCAGGGTGTTTGGGGATACACATTATATATAATTTTTTATATTTATATAAATATATATATAAAATATTGTGATGTTGCATATAAATCCATGGAGCTCTAAGTAAGAAGTCTTTGGATTCACGAGGTAACTGGGACGGGAAGAAACCTGTCTAGTGGTTCCAGGCAGCTAAAAGCAAACAGAGGCTTTCAACTGATTCTCATTACTCAGTTCCTTGGAGTCTACCACCATTTCCTGAAATTTCTGCTCCACATATCCTGTCTCTGAAGTTTCTTCTACTCATTGACAGGATAGCCTGGCATCATTCATTTTCATCTCCTCCAGTTTCAATCTGAACAGTGATTATATTTAGTTGATCCTACCCCTTGAAAGCTTCAGCATGCATGGGTGTGGTAATATTTTATTTGTGCTCTAACAAATAAAACTTGCCTGGGGACCAAAGGACAAAGCCAGCCACTATATAAAACATAGAAGTCAGGCAGTGGTAGCACACGCCTTTAATCCTAGCATTTGGGAGGCAAAGATTCATCGGATCTCTGTGAGTTCAAGGCCACACTGGGAACCTAGCCAGGCATGGTGTTACACGCCTTTAATACCAGCACTAGTCAACCATAGAGGTCTGGAGGTCTGTACAGACAGACAGGACATGATAGCCCTGGGCAGAAAAAGGAAATGATATAGCTGGGCAGAGAGAGAAAGTAAGATGGCAGGGCACAAAAAGGTATATAAGGCGTGAGTATACAGGAAGTAGCTCTCTCTGGAGGCTGAGGAGTTGGTAAGGTGAGGTTGGCTATAGCTTGTTCTATTCCTCTGATCTTTCAGCTTTACCCCAATATCTGGCTCCGGGATTTTTAAAGACCATTTAGCAATTCGTGTTACACAAGGGCCACAGGAGGAAGATTAGAGTGGGAAGTTCAGAAGAACATCCTCCACCTTCATTGCCCTGGACTACAGGCACCGTGCTTCTCTGGACAAAGGTCTAATCAGTACATCTGAACAGACAGGAGCAGACACACATGAATAGAGCTAGAAATCAAGTCGTTCTTTGTGCTTGGCCTAGGCTATTGCCTACAACATTGCACCCTGCCTGTGCCAAACCTGGCCCCATCACTAGCTTGGCGGACCCTGCCTGACTCTTTCTCTGATGCTCCAGCTGCCTCAGGCACTGTTTGGAGCTGAAGTAGGATAATCAAAGCTGAAAAGCAGAAGCCATCGCCATTCAGATGGTACAAAGGCATGCCTCAGCCCTGCAGGAAGGAGCTAAGGACCTTTCTCCCTCCCCGCTCCTGTTCTGCTCTGGGGTATGTATCTATATGGTTATCTTCTTTGCTTTACCATGACAGCCTTTAGCCCAGGTCTGTAAAATTTCAGTCTAGATAATGCTTTAAAATCTACCTCATATGCCATCATTTTCAGAGAGTCATCATTGGTGTACAAAAATTGAAAATGAATTTCTACCTTCAATCATCATGTGTCATAAAACTCAGAACTGTATGTTATATCAAGGGACTTAATTATTTTGTCTCCATTCTGATTCTCTGTCTTCATAGTAATAATTTCCATGGCCCATCGAAGGTGAGTCCATTCATGTGTTTTCATGTCATTAGACTGTGAGCTCCACAGGAAGGCTATGGAGCCCTTTTCTGGGTCTCTGAACACACTCATCTGCCCAGCCACCCAGGAAGCCTTGCAATCTTCAAGCATGGCTTTGTTTCTGCTCCTTGATCCCCTGTCTCACTAATTCAGTTCCTTAATCATGTACCTTATTCTGTTCCATTTTTCATGCTGGATTTGCAGATCTACTTTCTTTGTCTGGCTCCGAATTTGGGACACATTTAATTAAATGAGTTAGACTAATTGGGAGCCAGTGTGAATCGCGTTCCTCAAGCCTACAGGGGTGGGTTTGAACATAAGCGCGGTAACCTCCCCACCACATCTCCCATCTTAGAGTCCTACCAGTTGCCAGCCGTAGGGACAGTCCCCCAGAGGTCCAGCCCATCTTCTGTGAGCGTTCCTGTCTAAATAAAAAAGTTACAATTCAAGCAGGAGAGTTAAAACTTTGATACCATAATTTACACAAAATCCAAGTTTCCAAGAAACTACAGCCTATGCAGTCATCCACAACCTTGTTCATCAGCATTCACTTTTAAATCCAGTGAAGGATCCCCAGGGGGTTCCAGTTTCTAGGTGACACTGTGCACGAGCTTTGTCTGGCTCTGGTTCTCTGTTGTCCTGTCTATTGCGGGGAGGCTCTGTGAGAGGAAACCCAACAACAGCCACCTCACAGCTGGCTCTGCAGCAGGCACCGGACTCTCTTCTCAAAACAGAGCTTGTGCATGTTGTTTTGTTTTGTTTCTCTTTCCAAGACCAGTTAACCCACCCTTTGCCGTTTGGTTTCACTAACATTTTTCTAAAACTATGGCGGATGCAGTAACTGTTCAAATGGTAATGAAATGTTGATAAGGGACTTTCGGTCCACAGACAGGAATGAGATGCTAATGGTAAATATTAATTAATGCCTGTGAGTGAGTTTTCTTTTCTGGTCAAGAGGAAAGTGGTCCTGAGCTACCCCACAGTGTGGGAAAGTATTTGTCCGTTTATGTAACCTAGGAAGCAAAACAGAACTGAGTCTATTGTGCCATTTCTCATGTCCCAGCTATTCACTAGCTGCTTGCCCTGTGATCTGGCAGCCTTAGGCTAACCACCCTGGGCCTGCTCAGAGTAGAGTTGCTGCTGCTGCTGCTCCAGAACAGGTCAGAGAGACATGACACTCCTAAGTACAGATACCAGCAGCTCCCCTGAGAGCTGTTTAAACCTACTGCTATGGGTTTCCTAGCTTTTAATTGGATGGCGTCATCTGTCATCACAACACATCCAATCAGCGTGATGGTTTACAGATGTGGGCTTACAGAGCTCTCTCCTGATGTGTGAGCAAACACGGGAGAGTTGAACAACTGCACCCCACTAGGAGACAGTGGTCCACAGCCTGGAAGACTGAACTAGAATCCAGACAACCTTTCTCCACCGGTAGGGATGTCGGTGAATTCTGCCAGGCATGTGGGAAGACAAAGCCTACTCTTAGTCTCCACATTAAAGGAATTAAAGGATCCTTCTTTCTTGAATTCATTCAGCCTTCCCAAAGACAGGCAGCAGGCTTGGAGGAGTTGGTCCTTAAGGGCACTATTTGTAAAGAAGCAATTTGCTACAGTTTCCTCCTGCATTTTCTAAGGTGCCAACCTGCGTATTCACCATTCAGATCTCCTTGGGTTGTTCCATTTCAGAAAGAATTAGCAGCGTAGTTTTAACTGAGATGTTTTCCTTGGGAGGTTATGCTTTTAAGCATCCATGTTTTGAATGCGAACATAGGGAGACTTGGCAACAGGGCGAGAGAAATGAGACCGTGTTACTTCTTTATGTGAAAATGACCGCGTAGAACAAAAATAACTTCAAGTAGAAAGAAAACAAAATTATAGTCCTAATCTAAAAAGAATAGAATGGAAAAGGAAAAAGTTATCATAAAGTTCAAGCCCAAGCTCAGGCTGAATTGAATAGAGAATCTGTCTTAGAGAACAACTAACAAATCGAGAGAGAGAGAGAGAGAGAGAGAGAGAGAGAGAGAGAGAGAGAGGGATGGGGGGTAGGAGAGGGAGTATATAGAAACAAGGGAGTATATAGAAACAAGCACACTCAGAAGCCCAGGAACACAACACTGGTTGGAAATTAATTGTGGGGTCTTCTATTGCAACATCATTTGATAGAGTTCTATAATGTAAAGCTGGAAAAAAGAATGTAAAGCTAATTATAGTTCAAGCTTTCTGCATGAAATAGCGACATAGACACTTAGTTTCGAACTCAGGGTTAGAGTCCTCATTCTGCCACACCCCGTTAGATATCCTAGCACTACAACATGCTGCCACATCTTGTGAGATTGGGCCGCAGCCCCTCTGGCCGTCTAGCTGCCCATGGCATGAGGATGAGGAGAAAAAGGGAAGTAAAATAACAGCCTGGGGGTGGAGGGGGATTAGTCTTTGGGACAGGTGATTATTATGTAAAGGACATGGTTACTCCAGCCCTCCTGTAGGCTAGGCACCCGTGAGGCTGTTGGATGTTTGAGAAGAACTTCTATGTAAAAACTGCCAAGGAGCTGGAATCTGACCACTATGCTAAAGTCAAGCTGTTGCTCAGCTAACTCTCCAGTTCCTAGCCGATGGAGACTGAGCACTGATTTTGCCAAATGAAAAAGGAAGAGAAGGAGATATTAAAATAACCTAAGAGACTGCTGCTTTCACCTGAGGACAGCTGGGCCAGGTCTCCTTGGGCGGCTTCCCCTCACTCTCCAGGCCCCTCACTCTCCAGGCCCCTCACTCTCCAGGCCCCTCACTCTCCAGGCCCCTCACTCTCCAGGCGCAGGACCATGAACAGCCTTTTCATTGTCCCCAGGTGGCCCCCTCCCTCTCTGTCTCTCCTCCATCCCTTCCGCTATGGCTTGAATGTTGACCCTCCCCTAGAGGCTCATGGGTTTGAATACTTGGGGGCACTGTGTTGGAGGACTGTAGGACCTCTGGGTGTGGACCTTGAAAGTCATAGCCTGCCTCCATTCCCAGTCTAGCTCTCTGCTCTCTGTGGTGCCCCAGCTGCGTGTGAACACCACCATGCCCTCCCTGCCACATAGGCTACCATTGAGGCAACGCAAATCTCTCCCTGCTTAAGCTGATGCTTGTAAGTGTTTGATCATAATGACAAGAAAGGTAACTGAGAGCCTCCTCATAAATCTCACATCAAAAGAACAAACACACACACACACACAATTCTACAAAGATTTCATGTGTCTAATTTTTTTCTAAGGCCTCACATTCTCCTTTGAGACATGGCCCACTGCTTAGCTTTGCCACATCAGCTTTCCAGTACCATTTCACTGGATGCCCAGCTGCTAGCCCTATACTGTGATCTTCTGTCCCTGGAATGTTGGATGTCGTTTTTACATCCTTGTACTCTGAACTGGCCAGCTCGGAATCTGGGCCATCCCATACTCTGCAGCTCCGAGGTGGCCTCCCACGTGCAACAGATAAGCACCTGCTGATGCTTGCTCAGACCTCTACCAAGCCCACATCTCAGAGTATGATAGCTGTCTTCCTCCCATATTCCCTACATCCTTGGCTAAATACTTAACCCTCCTCAAAATGAAGGACCATTTGTGATGCTCTGCAGGCACTGTGCACAACATTGGCTCTCGAGGATGGGGACTGGCAGGAAAAGTGGCCGAAGTGTTGATTAATTATTGAAACATAAATAAACTTAAACAGGGAAAGACCAGCCAAAGCCCACTGCACTTCAGCCTGTCCAAGATGAGGACAAAATCTGTATATGGGGGGGCTGATACCGATGTCACTCCTGGGTCCCATAGAAGAATTGTGGGAATCTTGGGACATGCCCAACAATAGCAGTCATCCTCAGTCAGCATATAATCTCCCTCTGCCACATCTCCAGGCCCCTGCATACAGACATAATACTTCCTTAACCCAGATCCCTGACCCCTGGAAAAAAAAGGAGACAGCGTGGTAGAAGAAGTGTCTACACTGGCTATTGGCTACTCTGTCTTTTGATGAAAGGAATCGCTCACATAATTTCACCAGGACAGATATTCTCCGAGGTCCTTCCCAGCTCTGCCATGTATCAAAACCACCCCACCTCACCCCCAAACCTGGAAAGTGTGGAACTCACTTTGTCAAAGCACACAAGGTTGATCTGGCCACACATGTTGATTCTTTGTGGAGAGATACAGAAAATCTTCTTCTTCTTCAGCCTCTTCTGGGCATACACATTGCCTATGGTCAGGGCAGCAGGGAGCACAGGAGGGACGGTGGCCGTGAGGAGGATCAGCGCCATGGTTGCGGTTTCTCTCGGAGGAACCTGGAGAGGAGAAAAGGATGAACACAGGGTAGAACAGAGCAGGATGGCGCCTTCCTTCCAGCTGCCTCCTGCAACACTTGGGAGCCCTGGATCTTGGCTCAGAGTATTCCTGGGCTTTCTTGGTGGGGTCATGTGTCTCTTGGCTGTCCCTAAAGCATATACATATTGTCCCTGCTATACACCAAAGGAGACCCTTTGACCCCCATTCCAAGTCTCCCTGACCTTTTCTGACTCAGGTTCCCTCCACCTGAACACCGATGTCTCCTTTGTTCATCACACCCTCTGAACTCCTGGGGGCTCACATGGGCATCACTCCGCTCACATGGGCACCACTCTGCTCACATGGGCAGGTCTTTGGTCCAGATAGTTCACTCCAAAGCTTGACATTAGTTTTTAAATCTCTCTCCCTCACCAACCTGCAAATGTCCTAGATACAGGAGCTGTGGCTCATTCACCTTTGAATCCTTATTTGTCTGAAGGTCAGCTCAGTGTCTGGGGCAGAAGCGACACTCAGTACATAGACAGAAGGAATGGTGACCTGACAGACCTTGGAACCAAGACTGCCGAGGTCACAACGTCTCAGAGTGACCATAGCTCTGGGGAAGCCATTGTTGAGGTTAGTCTCCCTCACTACGGCAGTCACATGTCTGCACCAGATACACTATTTAGTTGCTTCCTACAAGCACTGCGTTCTCCACTTTCTCCAGCTGCTCACAGAGGAGTTTTGACCCTGCAGACTCCAGCTTGTCTAATTCTGAACCAAAGCAGACAGAGGCAGCCACGGGGCCAAAGTTTCTGACCCACAAGGCCTGACATTCAACTTCCAGCCTTGGTGTGGATTGCGTGTTAAGCTCTGTCCAGGAAACCTTCACTTCCAGGCTGTGCCAAGGCTTCTTTTGCTTTTCTGGTTGGTACTTCTGCTCTCCAGGTCAAACTGGAACACTGCATTACATTCTGGACTGCATGGTCTTGATATTCTGCCTAGTTCTCCCCAGATTCCATACCAGGGACAAAACACTGGACCCCTTGGAGTACCCCCTTCCGGGAGCCTTAAGCCAGTTTGAAGTGACTATTCAGAGGTTTTAGCATGAGCATTATATAGAAAATCTTTGGATTATGTCATCATCCACCAATATCCTGATCACTCACACATTCACCAACACCCAGCATTCATTCACTGGCACTACCAGTTTGGACAATGCCCTCATCTCTTCTCCTCAACTAGCCCATCAGACCCCAGCATGTCTTAGAGGCCACATGAATGCACAGCAGAACAGAATCTCAGGACCAGAAAAACCCTCAGAGGTTACAATGACAACCTCTCCCTTCCTGGCTACCAACAAAGAGAAGCACCCACATGAACTTGGTACCCTAGAGAGCACCCACATGAACTTGGTACCCTATAGAGAGACCACATGAACTTGGTATCTATGGTTTAAAGGAAAGTAGGATCCCACTAAGCATCATCAGCTCTGGAAAGTAGAAGGAAATGTTTAATTCTGCTTCAGATACTACCAAAGAGAAAGCATGGGCAAGTCACTTACATTGTGTGTGGGGGTTACTTGGGACACCACTTTCAAAACTACATGGGAAATGTTAAAACTAGATGTGCCGTTCAAGATCCCCTTCATTCCGACCTCTTGCTACCCTGCTAGGCTTCTCCATGAATTTCTTGTCAGTTCTAGAAGGCACGCATGTGTTTCTGTGTTTTGTTCATTTGAATTATTGTGTTCTTCCTGCCCACTGACTTGATTAACAAACTTTTCTCACCTATTTGAATGGATGTTAAAAACATGTATTTCGTATAAAGCTCTTTGGGCATCCATATTGCCTCCATCATTATAAATCAAATGGTGAAGCAGCCAATGAACTGCACAACTCTCTGTGTGTGTGTGTGTGTGTGTGTGTGTGTGTGCGCGCGCGCGCGCGCGCGCGCATGTATACACATATATGCAAGTTCCTTTAAAAGGTTAGAAGAGGGCACTGAATATCCTGGAGCTGATATTACAAATGGTTGTAAGCCACTTAGTGTAGGAGCTGGGAACCAAACCCTGGTCCTCTGCAAGAGCAACAAGCACTTTTCGCTACTGATCCATCTCTCCAGGCCCTGTGCAAATTTTCATAGCTCTGCTATCCAACAGGAATACAAATTGAAAATTCAGCTGTCACACCAATAAGTGCTATGATTATATTTATATGTGTGAATATATATATACATAATTGTGTGTGTGCATGTGTGTGTGTGTGTGTGCTTATGGGAATGAAACCCGGGGCCTTGTACATGCTATTCAAGCACTCTATCACTGAGCTAGCTGTATTTCCAGCCAAGGCTTTTCACTCTGGAGATGTAGGCATAGACCATTTCTACAATCTTAGAAAATTCTCCGGGACAGCAGCATTGGTTCATAGAATTATGGGATCTAGAGTCAACCTTATTTAACATTTTAGAGTTAGTTCAAGCTCTTGAAAAACTATGAGTGACAAGATTTAGTTGCAGTACTTACTCCATGGTACATATAGACACCTAGGGCATAGAAAAATCCCACAACACCAATACAGGCCAGGAACACCATGAACTTGAAGGCATCATTATACAGCTTGAAGTTCAGAGGTCGTGGGTAGAGGATGGATCTCACCAAGTCCCCTTTTGCTGTATTATAACCTAGGAAGATAATCACAAAGGGATAAAAACTCTCCACTTCTTTCCAAACCTACGTGGCCATGCCACTGGAGTCTGAGAGTGGCCATGGTTATGCCACTGGCGTCTGATATGGAAACGGCATTGCTCTGACCTAACAGTGTATTTACCTTCCTTGTCCAAAGTCACAGAAAGCAATCAGGTACATTCCCTCAACCCTGTTTAATTCCTCTTGTTCTTGGAGGAACAGAGTACAACCATCCCTTCATCTGCAGAGCTAAGAAAAACCAGACTTGTAAGTTGGAAACTGTGACTGGAGAAAATGGGATGCCAAGAGAAAAGTTTAAAGCAGGTATGTGTTGAAAACAGACAGAAGTTAGAAAAAAAACTGAAAATTTAAAGAAGCAGAAGGCGTAGGTGAGTGATTTCTTTAAAATCTAAGTGCACAGGCTTTTCATCATGACTTTCTTGTGTTCCAAAGCTTTCCAAGGCAATGACTTCCTTAGACCAAAGCTCAAAGTCCTAGACAGAGTACTGAAAGTGCTCTTCAACATCATGTACTTCTATCTGATAGACTAACTTAACTATTGAATGGTCCCAGAAGACCCCTGCATTTTCTATTCTGTGCCTATCTCTCTAGCTCTCATATGATTGGCCAAATGCTCTCTCACCCTATCAGACTTGGTTTCAAATGCCACCTTCTCAAAAAGTGTTTCCTGAATTCCATGTCCATACTTGAACCCTATATAATTTATTCCCTGCAAATCTTGGTCATATGGCGTCTCTCACCAACGTATAGTTTAGTTAACTGGAAGTTACTGTAAGTACATACCTCTGTCTTTTACATCATATCATAATCTTCCTTAAAGGAACAAATGTTAATTTGTTAACTTATATAGCATTTAATGTATGTTCATTTCTGCCTGACTTGTTGACTAAAATGATCAGCTGGTCTGTATTTTAAATATGAGCTAGTTTTATAACAATAAGATGTGTTTTACCCCTATTTCTTGGTGGACACACCGTTTTCTCTAACACTATTTTCTAGACTCTGGAGAATAGGAGCATAGTTTCCCCTAAGTTTCCATCTAAGCACTTAGAAACACTCATAGAAAAGTATAGTCTCTTAATTCAGCTTCTTGCTAAAGTGAAATAGCATTGCTTTATAGGACTTTAAACCTTAGTTTCTGTTTAGACACCTGGCTGAGGGGTCCCAAAACTTGTTTTAACATGGAAGTCATATTTTAAATTAAAACAGTATTCAACTAACATAATTGAATAACAGACCAAACTAAAGCATAGCCCCAAAGAGAAAGATGTGGGTTTTTTTGTCTATGGATGTGTGTAGCAGCACAAACACACACTGAGCCAGGGCCAGGTCAAAGGAGGCCTTGGCTGTGTAATTTCATGTGAGAAAAAGAAAATGAATATAACTATGGAAACATTCTGAGCATGATACGAACGTACAAACTAAGCTAAGGAAATGTGTTTGTGATGACAGGCTGAGTAACAGTTTAGAGAGAGATCAGAGCAAGAGCTGAAAGGAAGCGGTCAAAAGACTATTTCTGGTAGGATGCTGTAGGCATGGAGTGACAAAGCCTGCAGAAATGACAACCGTGACAGAGGAGGCCAGGGGACTGGGACTCAGCAGGTGGTAGCAGAGTCTTTAGGATTTGATGCCCATTTGGTCTGAGAGAGAGAGATGTTGAAGATGATGCTAACAGCTGGGCTAGATGCTGATGCTGTTCACAGAGAGGTGATGCAAGGCACGTTCATGTGTAGACCCCTGCTGTGGGATGTCTTTCTGTATGCTATCAATATGTGTTGTTCCTGTTGGTTAATAAATAAGCTGCTTTGGCCTATGATAAGGCAGCTTAGAGGCAGGAGGGAAATCCAAGGAGAGAGACAGGAAGGAGAACGGCAGAGTCTGGGGAGAAGCCAGCCTGCTGCCCAAGGAGTAACATGCTAGCAGACCGGTAAAGCCACAAAACACATGGCAAAACATAGATCAATAGAAATGGGTTAATTTAAGATATAAGAGCTAGCTAGCAAGAGGCCTGCCATAGGCCATACAGTTTGTAAATAATATTAAGCCCTTGAGTGATTATTTTATAAGCGGCTGCAGGACTGCAGGCCAGGCAGGACTGGAGAAACCTTCCGGCTACAGACCCCCGACTCTAAAGTATCCACAGAGCACTTGTTATCTAGCAAGCAACTTTCGGAGATGAAAAATCCTTCCTAGTTGTTGTGGCCGACATTGCTTTACAGGGAAACACCAAGAGGAAGCATGGAGGAACAAAGAGAAACCTACAGACATGAGCCTTTAAGGACATTTACAGCATCTATGCATGCCACTCAACACATACAAGGGTTTAACAACAAACATTCAAGTTAAGGTAATGGCAACTCAGAATCATAAGGGTCTGGTTAGGAAGGAGTGTAGCTGCTATTACTAGAATATGGCAAACTCCAAAATCCTAAGCAAAATTTCCCACCTCCAATTCTCCCCACCTTCAGCACAGCTTAAATTTACAAAAGTTGGATCCACTCACCTGTCTGCAGAACAACGGCCCTAACAGGTCCCTGCCCGGATGGCTTGACCTGGATCACTTCCGTTCCACAGAAAAGCACGTGTTTCCGGTAGTCCTCTAAGCTGTGGGTTTTCCAGGGCATGGTGTTCTCCGTGTGAGGTAATGGTGTCTTTGTAACAGGTATACTTTCTCCTAAAGAAGGTTGCATTTTGTTGATTCTGTTTAAACTCAGGTAGTTTTTCAGGACCAATGTCACATTGTATCACCACAACCATTTTAGCACTCATCCCATGAGTCAAATGGCTGACTGGTCAGTGATGCCCATGGTTCATATACTGGTAGGCTTGGTTCTAGTTAAAATATTTCCTTAAACTCTGCTTATCACTCCTCTATGTGGAATGTGCGGTCTGTTATCATAATTTAATGAGCAGTTAAATTATCACCTAGCCATATCTCAAGCATCCATCACCCAGCATTGTTTCAGAAGCTGTAAACATGTTTCCACTTGCCTTTCCTGTGGTCATTTATCCATGCATCCACACATTTTCCCTGCTTATTCCACAAATTTCTGTGCCAGAAATAAAGCACTTTTTCTGCTAAGTGCTGGGAATATAATGATAAACAGGGCATAGAAGCCTGGTCCTCATAAAGCTCATGGTCCCAAGCTGGAAAATTATAATCCTTCTACACATTTTCCAGGTGACTCCTAACAAAGCCACCATTCCATTCATCCAAGTTGGGGTTTCTATTGCTGCAATGAAGCACCATGAGCAAAAAGCAAGTTGGGGAGGAAAGAGTTGGCTTACACTTCCACAGTGTACTCCATCCTTGAAGGAAGCCAGGACAGGAACAGAAACAGGGCAGGAACCTGGAGGCAGGAACTGATGCAGAGGCCATGGAGGAAGCTGCTTACTGGCTTGCTTGGTCAGTCTCCTTTCTTATAGAACCCAGGACCACCAACCCCAGGGATGGCACCACCCACAATGGGTTGGGCCCTCCCCCATCAATCATCAGTTAAGAAAATGACCTACAGGCTTTCCTTCAGCCCCATATTATAAAAGCACTTTCTTAATTGAAGCGCCTTCCTCTCAGATGACTTTAGCTATGTCAAGCTGACATAAACTATCCAGAACACCATCATTCCCTTTTCTACGAAAAAGAATTTTTCCCCTTGCCATTGTAAAATAAACCCCAGACTTTTTTTTAGATTCCCAAAACCCACCAGAGTTCCAATGGCCTCCCGGGCTTATCCCCATACAGGCTCCAGCTGAGCAGGGCCCTTTCTGATCCCTCAGTCTACCTCTCAGCACCTCCTACTCTTGGCTGCCACAGTCTCTGTTCCCTTCTCAAGGAAGGTGACATTCTGTAAGACAGAATGTTGGAGGTACAAAGAAAGCAAGCTGAAAGTTCAAAAGAGCACATTTCACAGTAAAAAAAAAAATAAATGAGTAAAAAAAAAAATAAATGTGGATAACACTTCCTAGTTCCCAGATTTAAAACATGCTAGAACAAATTAAAAATTCCACCAATCCTTAGTTAAATGTTCTATTAGCAAAAGAACATGTCATCTTTCTAATTTAGAAATGGCATTGTATTGATTATATTTACATTTCCTTCTATGAGGGGGAGAACTTTGTCATAAAGAACTTTCTATACTCCTCATTTTACTCTATGGCATATAATAGGTTTTAAAAAGTGTGTTATCTGCTAAATGTATGTCCGAGTCAAATAAAAGCGATTACTTCGGTTTTTCTATTACTGTTCTTTCAAAGCTAGCTTCCTATCGAGGAGAATGTTTACAATGCAAGGCTTAAGAAACTATAACATTTTATTGCAGTCTTGAATATTCTTCAGCATATCCCCTGAGCTGAGCGCTGTCCTTACTCTATTTTCCTTAAAACAGTGATGTTGCCCCTCCACTGTGTGAATTTACCAATTGCATCCAAAATGACTCTATAGGAGAAACAGGACCTTTGGCAAGTCTCCAAATAATTGTACCACGCTGTTTTGTAAGTCAGCCCCTGTAATGCATAGATACTTACAGATTACTTTATGACAAGAAATATTAATCCAGAATACTGCTTTGCCTAATATGATAGTAGCAACTAGTTTTCTTTTATATACCCCCAATGAAATTGGAATCAGACAGGCACTGATCAAATGAAGTCACCACGAGATATTGTTACGGAAATGACACTCCAGGCAGATAAATTTACAGAGAATTAACACTCCCCGTGTATTATTAAGACTCTCATGCCTGGGCTTTTCTGGGAAGTCCAAGAAGAGATGAATTCACCTGCATAAGATTAGGGTGCAAGGAGGGTTATGTTTCAGAAGGAAGTCCTTTGATTGTGCACTCTCATTACAGAGTTGGCGCCAGGGACCTTGAGAACTCAGCGTCTGTCAAATAGAGAATCTCCCATGTCCCCACGGAGCTGGATGCGACTTCATGCTGACAATGCCCGAAATGCCACATTCTTGTTTATGGCATCACTGGGACCACTTGACAGAAAATCATCTGCCAGTGCAGTCAGCTTTCCTTTATCTAACTGATCCCAGTGCAGTGCCTGGCACATAAAGGCATTTCAGAAACTCAGATCAAGTAAACAGATAAACATCAAGACAAAGGGGGGGACAAGAAGAAAAGAAGAAAAAAGTGAGAGAAGGGAGAGGAATAGGTATGATCTACCCATCGCTTACAAGTTCATGGGGCAGAATATCAATTCAGAAAGACTGCAGAGGAAAAAATGCTGTGCGTCCATCTCAGATCACTGCATCTGTCCTAAACGGAGGCTTCAAATCAATCAGCTCTTTCATGAGTACAGGTAGACAGAAAATGCTGCCCTCTCTCACATAAGCATCCCCAAGAGAACCAGAAGGCACTGGCTAGAAGCATAGGCTCTGAGGAAGTAATGTGTTGGCTTAGGTGTTTTTCTTCGTGAAGCAGTTATTAGGAATGTGTGTCCTTTCCGACTTTCATGTTTTCCATTTGCTCCAGCAACCTTGCCGGCCCTGCTCACTGCTGTATCCCCAGTAGATTTTTTGCTAATAGATTGGTGAACTCAGGGAATGAACAGCCAAACAAGTGCACCCGGATCTCAGAGGCACTACTTTTATCCCATGTGAATATCGACAAATTATTTCTCCTCCTCTCTTGGACCCGTATTCACCCACCTAAAAGAACTGCAGAATAAATGGAACAGTGTGAAAAATGTTGGTGTAAAACAGCGTGTGCTAAAACTAAGAAAATGGTAACTATGAATGGATTCTCCCCCATCATATGCCCCTTTGTGTCTTGCCTCCTCCCCCTTGGGGGAAGCAAGGTCCTGAAGGAGACATTGCCTCAGGGAAAAGGTACAAGGGACAGGGAAGTTGGAAACTGGCCTCTGAGTCCTGAAAATCATGTGTAAGTTTGGTCATGGATTCTAGAGACTTCCAGAAAGTAAGAAAGCCCTTCGCTTCCCCATGCCATCCCTCTCCTGCATTTCCACCTAAATTAGCAGTCCTGAAAGAGCAGAAAGGGGATCCCAAGGGGACTTGTGCACCATGTGTTCCTAAGAAAAGGGACTGCACCTTAGGGGGCTATGAGAACACTCAATGAGGCTATCAGAACTGGGTGTCAGGCTTCAGCCTCCCAGACTTGGGGAGACTGCAACCACAAGAAGACCTGTATCACCCCACCCTGATGTCCTGGAGGACTTGAGTAGCCAGAATGGAGTCAAGAGGAACTGGTGCAAGGTCACTGACTTGCATCAAAATAAACACCAAGCCTCTTTAGGAAAGGAAGTCAAGCTTTTTGTAAAGCAGTGGCAGCTCAGGAGAAAATGCCACTGATGGGCGGGTGCTGTGGGAGGGAACCTGCATAGAGTAAAGGGTGACAAGGTCAAAATGGTGACAGTCGCTTCCCCACTTCAGACTCATCTTCTGCACTCAAGTGCCACTTTGTGTTTGGGAACAAGTGCCACCTCCAGTTCTGATTCCATCGCTAATCATTGAGTAGCCCTGGTCTTTGTTAACTCTGTTCCTTCATTTCTAAGTTGGCATTTTAATGGAGCCTAGCCTAACTTGTTTGATAGCATGATGAAGTGAGATATAAATGTTATTTATAAAACATGTTACTGTAGGATACTAGGAGTGTTTACGTACTTTTTTTTACATAAATATCTGTATCTGCAAAGGGTTATTTTGCAAGTGGAAAATAGATGCATCTGAGTTGTATTTGTGGACACATAACCTAGCACTGACCATATTTCAGCCGGGAATCTGACTCCAACATGATGGCTCTATCTGGATGCTTTCACAGTATGTGTGCCAGTGGGGTCCATTTCCCACACAAAAGGAAGTAGTGCATGCTGGGATTTATGTGCTTTCGAAGAAATTAACAAGACACATAGAGTTAGTTTCATATATATTTCTGTTTCACTGAGTCTGACTCTAAAATGGATCTTTTTTTTTTCAGCACTCAGAATATGCAGATATTGGTGCTGGTGACTCTAGTTTTGCCATAAGTGGGCATAGGAAAAGCCCATTGTCATTCAAGTTCATTTTAGATCAGTTTTAACTCTCCAAAACACTCTGGCTTTTCCTGGGACTCAGGGCAAATCCTGTAGATCATGAAAGGAGAAGGAACCGTTGTTTCTGTCTTTCCTGAGGTCCCCATGTCATGCTCTCTGTCACCCAGTGAGAGAAGCACTCAGAGGACAGGCACACTCAGGCTGCGGACACACAAGGGACAGAGGCCAGCCAACATGTTTCTTAGCTGGAGGTCTGCACTTTGGGTACCATGGCAACATTCATTCCCCCTATCACAAGGCAGGTTGATTTCAGCCAATTAAAGGAGATAGTTCATAAGCATAGCAAACTTATCTAGGTTTACTACAGTCTGTCTCCATTTAAATTAAGTAGAGTCATTTGTAAATATTGAGATCTGCTTATGTTGAACAATTAAGGAGCAGACAGTGGATTTCCGTTACACTGAGGTCATGTTCAAGGTTTGTGTGCACTCCTTCCCAGCTTTCTACCAGAGGGAAGCAGGCACGTTTAACCATCCATCAGCACAAAGGACAAACAGCTTTTAGCTTCGTGCTTCCAAATAGTCTCTCGTTAAAATGTGCTGCCCTGCATGACTTCCCAAACTAAAGGGCAATTGTATAAATAGCATCTTCCTAGTCATATAATTACAAGAAGACTTTAAAAACTGAAGGTGAACACTAGAGCCCTCTGAACCACTGTGTGAGAGCCACGGGGGCTGTGAATCTGAAGAACAGAGCAGCAGGCTGTTGCCTATGCTAAGGCTCACTGGAACTTTCCGGGGAGACCCAGATCTAAGGAGTTCCCACCTGTAGAGCTCATGGCTAGGCAGATCTCTCCTCCCTTTTGACTGGGACCCGACAATTTTTTAGGCTGTGCTTTGTTTTTATGCAGATAGAACTATTCTCAGATTTATGAAGAGACCACATTTCCACCTGCTCACGTGCCCAAACCTCCTTCCATTAACTCCTTCACACCACCATTCAGCAATAAACCCCAAGGGATAGTAAATGTTTCCTCTAGGTTTCTGTTCTGTGGCTTACTCCTATTGTTAACCAGCACTGCCTGCTTGCACAATCTGTGTCTTTGTTTGAACAAAAAGGCAGCATGGATCTCCCCTATCTCCTTCATGTCTCAGCACAGGGCTTGGTCCCAGCCAAATAGGGAGAGCTGATCTGATTTGCTAATGTTTGGGCTAGCTGTGGGGTAAGGAAGAAGATGCTGGGTGACAGCAGCCTACCTGTGAGCATTCCTTCATTCACCACACAACTGCCATCGATGAGAACAGCATCACAGGGCAATGAAATCTTCCCTGGAAGAATGAGAATATCCCCTGGAACCAGGAGACGGGACTCCAGCTCCTGCAGACCTAGGAGACAGCAAAACTTCCATGACTGTCTTGGCCTTTTCCTGGTTTCTCTGAAGAATTAAAATAACTAAGAACTCCCATCTGCTTATTTTCCAGTGGGGCAAGACCTACCCTATCTATTCACCTGCCCAGGGCCCCTTTCCACTCAACTGAAAATCACCAGGGAATTAGATTAGGAAATTGTTTCTTGGAGCTTAGAAATGGATGAAGAGTAACAAATTCCTCTTTAGAACCTGGTACCCAGCCAGGCTCCATGCAAAGTGTATTTTTCGGAACATCGGTCAAGAGGGAGGAGCCCCTGGCTGCTACTTGCTCTGTCTGGGCACTGGAATCCTGAGAGCATTTTGAGGCGACCTGAGACCTTCTGCTGCTCTTGTTGCAGTTCTTTTTCCTTACCCATAACCGTGGCTACCCAACTCCAAGCTAGCTCAGAGCAAATGCCAAGAGGGCAGGCAGTCAGCATCAAAAGGCACCATTCAAGCCTCCCTTCCAGATGACAGCTTGGAATGTATGAGGCAAGGTCTTTGGGATATAGCTGGTTGAAAAAGATAAAGGAGCCTTCAGTGTTCACATGAATATCCAACTATGTGAAGTATGGAGGGCAGAGGGAATTTGAAGCTGAAATCTATGAAGACGATGATGTGTAGGAGTAATCTGAGCAAACTTTGGAAGAGGGTGAGGCAAGCCAGGCCTGGGGCTCCAAGCTGGATAGGGCGGCCACTCTCGGGGTTCTGCAGATGTGGGGTAGGCATCTGCAGTCTTAGCCTCCTGCAACGTTATGAGTCAGATGCCTCACTCCTCTCCTCATACTCACAGTCCTGGGTTTAGTCAGAAAGAAGTTCCGTCTTTGATAATGAGGACGAAGGGTCTGCTGTACAACCATGGTGCAGAGTCCGTAGCCTGGGTCACTCACCTTTGCCTTTTACAGCGATGGTGACCTGGACTTTGTTGTGGTCCTCCACGAGGTTGTGCAGTTTAATGGATTGCTGCCAACAGAAAGTCAAGGCTTTACCAGCTGCTAGTCTGTATCCTGCCAACCGCCTGATCTAAATTCAGTAAAGGATAAACCTCCTGCCATAGCCAAATGACCTGGGCAAACAACCCAGCTTGCCCTTGATTTGCTCTTTTTGGTCTTTGAGACAGGCTGTTATGTAGTCCAGGCTGGTCTGGTACTCGCTAGGTAGACAAGAATGGCTTCAAACTCAAAATAATCTGTCTGCCTTTCTCAGCTTCCAAGTGCTGGGGTTGAAGATACGTTCACCACACTCAACTTCTGCTTTGGCTTTTGATACTTCAGCTCCGCTGCTCCCACCCATTCCCTCCTGACATGACTTTAGGAGCAATTCTCCCTGTTCATTTAACACAACTTAGAAAAAAGAAAATGATACACAACTACAGAATCCCGGATACAGGTAGAGGAACCAAGGTGGGGAAAGAAGCCCGAGCAGACCATGAGCTTGTCTGAGTTTGCCCTGTAAAGGACTGTCCACTGGGAAGAGCAGTCCCTGTCGAACTGCTTGCTCACACTGGGTGAGCTGACAGGCTGGAGTCATGCCTCGAGCTTTGGAATCCGGATGCTAGCACAAATAAGTCTGTGCGTCTGTCTGACTGCAGTTTGCTCATCCGAAAGGGGAGATAACATAAGCCTTTGGAAGAGGTATTTTAAGCTTCCAGGTAATTAATTCTTACAAAAACCCTTTGTGCAATAATAGCACCATGCTGAGAGCACCTGAGTGCTTGCAGCTACAAAGGAAGAAGCTGCTGGAAAAACCATAGCGGGACAGCACCTGGAAAGCCTCGCTGAGGTATCGTTTCTTGAGATATGTCTATCCAAGGTGGAGGGGATGGAAGAGAGTGTGGAGAGAGAAAGCAGCCATTCCTAAGATAACAGGGGGCCAGGAAGGCAGAGGCAAGAGGGGATTGGTCCACACACTTCCCATACTGACATGGTGTGTCGCATGAGGAAGGGGGCACCAGCAACTGGGGTAAGGGTGGGCTGCTGCAGAAGATCCTGCCGCTTCCCAATGGGTGTCAGAGAACCGGATGTCTCCAAGATGAAGCCAGGCTGGTTCCTGTTGTCGCTATTCAAATTCAACTTAAAATAAACCAAATGGAACGCTTCTTTCTTTTACAGGTTAAATTACCATGTTCCGTTAATGACTTTCAACGTTACAAATTTTTCCAGACTGATAGTCATCGTGCACAGCTGTGTGACTTTCCCCAGAGAGAACGTAAGGAATTCAACAGTAAGATTTATATGGGAGAAGGAATAGTATTTACTTCAGTTCCACATGAAAAACCTAACTTCCCTAATTTGGTCAACTGAGTGGACAAAATGTGACTACTATTAGGTGCATATACATCGCGGTAAAGTAACTACCCGAGTCTTGCATTTATACCTGGCATTACATAGGCAGCTGAGAGAGTCAGCCAAGGTTCTGTGTGAAGGACCCTGGATTTGGTCAAAATTCTGGAATTGGAGGTATGGCTTACCCTAGTAGCCAGCCACGTACAGTGTGTGCAAAATGCCACCTGAGAACCCAGTACCTTCTTTGGTAAACATCTGGTTTTAGCCTGAAGTTACCTTTCAGGGTTTAAAGTGGCATTCTGCTGGTGTATTTTACATGCCAGGGATTTGGGTTTAAAGTGGCATTCTGCTGGTGTATTTTACATGCCAGGGATTTATCCCAAGCCTGCAAGGCTTTCATTGAAGAAATTCATACAATATTATAAGGGACTCAAATGACTATGCATATAACCACTCACAGTATCAAGCCTCTACGACATATTAGCCATCGTGGAAGACCCTTTGGAAAAGCTAGATCTACACAAAAATAAACAAAAATTCTCTCCCTGACATGCATATAAACACAGGAGCAAAAGGCTGGTGTGGGAAACGCTGAAGTCACCGAGGGCGACAGTCACTCAGAGGTCCACTTGACGCCAAGCAGACCCTTAAGTGAGTCCTCGGCACGCTTAAAATAGCTTCCTCTCCCTTTCGGAGCTCTTTTCCCAGCTGAACTCCCTTCCCTTGCTTTCTGCTCGGCAAACTCATTGAGTGGATGCCATGATCACGTCAGCTGAAGAGGACGCTAATCAGCACATTTGGAAGTGGGGAAGTATGAGTTAATGGCGCTTGACGGTAATTCTCAACCCTCATTATGCTGGGAAGCTGGATCTGTTTAGCAGACTTAGCGTTGGGGGAGTCTGCTATGCTGGGTGGGGCTGGTCCCTAGAATGTTCAGCCCAGCTTGCTACTCGCGAGCTCTTTCTAATCTTTCACGTGAAGCTCTGTATAAATATGATCTCCCCCGACAAGGATGAGATCAGGGTCGGGGGTGGGGGTGGGGGTGGGGGGGAACGCAGTGCTCAGCTCCTGGCTCCACACCTGTGCTGGAGCACGGATAACTTCCATGATAGCTACCTGTTGCCCTTCCTCCCCCGTGAGACACGTAATTGCCAAGGTGGAGAGGGGGCCCTGCACTCATCCTTGTCCCCAGACTCTGTCACACAGTAGGCCCTCAGCAAAGGTGTGTTTCATAGACCTGGAGTGTTCTACATCTCCCAACATCACAGGGGTAGGCTAATGTAAGCATTCTCTTTGAGCGAATGGTACTCAGAAACCATAAGCATGGGTTTCTATGACAACCAGCCAGCCAGGAGACGGCAAGCTCTGTGATGTTCGCCATGGCTGCAAAGCTCATTGCCTGATTTTCATAGGGCCCCCTCTGGTTTCTACAGTCCCTCTTCAGTGGGACCAGGATCAGTTTCCACAGCTCATTTGCATACAGTTATTACTCCACATCTGCTGCTGGATATCTTTGTGTTTGCCGTGGCTGGATTTTCTCCAGAGATGTGGGAAGTGGTGCATTAACCCAGGTGCCTCGGGGCCCTGCTAGGCCACGACTGAAGGCAGAGCCAGGGGTGAGGGGATATAGTGATACTCTCAGTACTATGCTCGCACATGCACTGGTAGAGCCCAGCTATACTGTATGCAGATACACCTCAATGTAAACACAGTCTAGGGCTTGCACTCAGCTCTGGCTTACATTCTCCTAACTTCTTAGCAAGTGTTTCTTAGCCTCGGTAATGTAATCTTTCTTCAAGTGGCATGATTTGGGGTAGGGGCAATCAGGCAGCAAGATTATCCTTCTTAGCTTTAATTCAGAAACGAGGAACTCAGCAGAGTGACTTAGATGTTCCTTCCTTCACTCCTGCTAGCCTCTTTTCCTCCAAATCTTACCCTTACCTCAAAGTCCACAGGTCAGTTTTGAAAAAAACGTGCTCAATGCAATAATGTGCAGTACTTCCCTGGGAGTCAGGACACAGGGCCACTGTTTCTCACGTGGAGATGAGCAAGTTCCTCTCTGGTGGTGGGAAGCCACCTATTCTATTGCATGTGTCTCATTCTACAAATGTTGTGCCCAGCACATGGTTATGATGGAGATAGGGACCTATCATGAATCAGGAAATCATAAACAGGGTTAATGGTTGAGGGTCCATGACGGGAGCTGTGAAGGAAACAGGCTCACTTGGTGTGGCTTTACAAGACGTTTTACAAGTTAGGTCAGTTAAGTTTCGTGAACAAATACCAGCTGCTAATAAGGTCAGTGTTTGTCTTCTAATTCCCATTCTTCTGGAATCCTTTGCAGCACTGCCATTAAAGCTCATGTTCCCAGGTTGCTCACTGTTTGGGGCAAAGTAAATTAAGGATTCTGTTAAGGAGAAGACAGGAATTTTAACTTTTAATTTTTTTTAGGTTTATTTAATTTTATGTGTGTAGCTATTTTGCCCACATGTATGTATATGCACTACTTGTGACCTGGTACTCCTGGGGACTCGAAGAGGGCATCAGATTCCATGAACTGTAGTCATGGACGGTTGTAAGTCACGATGTGCATGCTGGGTCCTCTGCCAGAGTAGCCAGCACTCTTAACCACTAAGCCATCTGTCCAGTACTAAATGTTTAATTTTGATATGGGGTTTAAAATACAGAAATTTAAAAAAAACCCTAACTTTGGATATTGCTGTACAACAGTTTCATCCAGGATTAAAACTTTGTATCTTCCAGGGAAGCTCCTTAAGCAGGAAGGTAAACAACTCAAAACAGCTTCAGGAAGTTCCTGAAACTGAGCAAGCGACAAAAACGGAGATTGCCCCTCAGACAGAGGGAAACTGAGCTGCAAAAGACTCTGAGACCAGACCAACTGCCTGGAAGATGCAGAAACCAGACGAGCTGCTGGGAAGAGGTGTAGACCAGAGTCACTTGGAAAGGACACTGTCCAACCTGTTGAGATTCCTGCAGGCTGTGCAGTGAGCTCCAGGTTCCCAGCTTTGTGAGCTGTCACCCATGCTAGGGTGGGCCTTGATGATGCAGCTGCCTTTGAGTAATTGCTGATCCTGTAAGTAACCCGAACGAAACTTGGTTCATCACGTTGGACTTGGTGGTATCCATACTTGGATCTCTTGTGGGATCCCTATCTAGGATGAGTAGATGTATGTGTTGCATTCCCCCCCCTACCATCAGGAAGTTTTGTCACACAACAGATATGCAGAACAGGAAACCAGAAACCATGGAGGAAAAGAGAAATACTATGCCTCTGTGTAATCTTTAGTGTATGAAAAAGCCAAAATCAACTAGGAAAGATGGACTAAAAATGACTTTTCCATATATATTATGGAAATGAAAGGCCTTTGAATATAAAAGAAAAATGGAATGCTCAGGTGAATAAAGTACGACTCCTTTCACTAGCAATCAGTGAGTGTACATCAATTTAAAACACTAAGCACTCAGTGGATGAAAACTTCCACACAGCAATATCTATCACACAGTGCTGGTGAGGATCTGGAGAAATCAATGATCCTGTGTGTTGCTGATAAGAAGAATTATTTCATTTGGAGAAAATTACACTGCAACATCTATTAAAACTTAAATTATATCTATCCTTGGATCTAGCAGCCTGGCTTTTGGTTGCCATACTAAAAAGAAACACAAAGCAGTGTCTTGTGTCTTGGTTAATATGCAGTTTGAGTCACCAGCCCTCCCCCATCTTAGCAGTAAGAATGTCATCAATCCATGCAGCATTCTTCACACCAGCTCACACACAACCTCAGAGTCCTCAACATGTTCTGGTTAAGCCTCCAGTTGATGATCGAACTTTGCAAAGACTTTTGGATCTGCTTGGCACTCCTGATGCCCTGTCCCCCAACTGTCCCCATAGTAAGATTTGCTGTTGCTGCCTTCTGACTTCCGTTTGACAGAACTACTCCATGCTCTGGGTGGAAATTCTATAGACTTTGCTTGGTTAGCCAGAAGCTAATACAATTGGAATCCAACCATGATTTCAGTTCTTACCTGTCTCAAGTCATACACACTTAAGACAATAGAGATAACAGTCAAGATGATGATGGCCACAGAGTACTCTATGTAACCCTGAGACAGCCACAGAGTGAGGGTGAAGGCTTGGAACACGTAGAATGGATTTAAAACCTGCAGGTACAAAAACAGCACGAGTCATTTGTGTGGTAGCAATCAGAATTATATCATTACTTTATAGAACACCTTTCCAACTTAACAACATATGATGACCTCTGCTACTTAAGAATTCACTTAGAACTCAATTAACACAGGCAAGGCAACACCAAGCACATAGAATTTGATATGGTAGAAGTAAAGTTGCTCTAAGTACCCAGAGACATGCTCAAAAATTCCCCATTCTTATTTCCAAAAATATACTTCACCAGTAACAAAATCTAGCAACTTGCCTTTTATCCGTTATGTTGCTCAGCAGTCTCCAGGTTAAAACCCTCCATTTGGGGGGAAACTTCTTGAAACATAGGATACGAATGGAAAAGTGAAACAACAGGATATTTTAGGATATTTTACAAGGAAGTGAAACAACAGGGTGTTTCCGTAGTGGTGATGGTAGGGGTGGTGGTGTGGTGGTGGTGGTGTGGAAACACTCCATTTGACAGGAAAATGTCACTAAGAATAGATGTAAACAAGTAGGACAGCTTCAGGAAGTTCCTGAAACTGACTGGATTCACTAGACTCCTCCCTCCCCAAGAATTTATAAGCAGTGAAGACTGCTAAGAGTAAGCTGAGCCACTTAAAGGTCACTCTGACCAAACAGCCTGGAAGAAATAGAGATCAGCCAAACTGCTTGGAAGAAACACAGATCAGCCACAGTACCTGGAAAAAGGTTTAACCCCGCTGAGCCACTAGGAAAAGACAATTCCAACACACTGAGTTGCCTGCAAGTTCTTCAGTTCACTCCAGGTTTCTAGATTTTGTGAACTATCACCCATGCCAGGGCGGAGTTTTGTTGGTATAGCTCCCCTTGAATTATTTATGCACTCATAAGTAATCCCTCACCCATATTCCTGTGAGTAACCCTAATCAAACTAATGGGTTCACCAAATTGGATTTTGGTGTTGTAAATAGTTTGATCTGTTGTCAGTTCCCTAACTGAGTTGAGAAGACATTTGCTCGTGTCTGCCCAGGAAGAGTGTCACACAACCCCATAATGGAGGAAAAGCATAATTCAGTCTCATCTTAAAAATCATGGCTTTATCTTTCATGTTCTCTCATGCTGCAGACTTAGATTAATTGTGCTATGAAAATGGAAGATTCTTCTTTTGTCCAGGCTATTTTAACATAGCATATTCTTTCTGTCACAGGTCATAGGAAGATCCTTTTAGAGGCAGTAGAATCAGTGTCCTCCTCCCCTTGATCCCAGAAGGACCCTGAGCAGCAGTGGCTGAAGGGACTCTGGCCAGCTAAAGCACGTGAACATGACCCTGGCAGGCCTTGACCTTCTTCCCAACTCCCTCTGCCTGGCTAGAAAAACCAATTAGAATACATTCCTAAAGTCAGCCACCAAAGTCTATTCCCTTATTTGGCCGCTTCCTCCTCTTGAGGCTGACCACCAAGGTCCAGCTATCAGAGTATTGAAGTCCAGCAATCAAAATCCCCTTTGGCTCACCTAATAAACATGCCCAATTAAAATTAAACACCTCATTCTAACGCACAGTTTCTCCTTGTACCTTTATAAACCATCATTTATTTGCTTATGGACCACTGTCTGCCCTTCTCTATCCAGAGACAGTTCTTTGTCCCTTCAGGGCAAATATCCTTTTTCCCTCTCCCTTGCCCCCTTTCTCTTCTCTCTTGTCCTCTGTCTCTTGTCTTTGTCCCTTATCCCTGCCCTCTGTCCCTCGAGGGCAAATAAATCTCCCTTATGCTGAGAACTTGGCTTTGGGGGTCCTGAACCCATACTCTTCTTTTCAGTGGCTTTCCCAAGGATTTAGCAAACACCACGTTTGGACGGTGTCACCAGCTCCAAAGTTCATCAGCCACAGCAGGCACACGTGTCTCCATAACACCTTCAGATCGTTTATCCCCCCATATTTCCTGCTTTGGTCTTACTGGTTCCTATGAATGATTACAGCAGAGGGCTGAGATGAAGCTGAGTTGTAGAACTCATCTCTAGCATACCCAAGGCCCTGGATCAACCTTAGTACCCCTAAATATATAAATACAACGATTACAACAGAGAGAACAAGTCTTAGGAAGGAACTGAAGGAAGGTTCCACAACACAGAGAGGCAGCAAGAACGAGAGCGCCCACTAAGAGGAAGTGGATTCCCTTCCTGAGGAAGGGCCCTTTATCATCCTTATAAATCAGACGACATACTGGCTAAAAGCAGGGGTACTCTTTCCAGCTGCTACTGTCTGTAATTATCTCACACACTGAATAAAATTCCACTTTGCTCCTAACAATGAACTGGTAGCTACTTAATAAGTTAATAAAGTTACACATTAAGGGTTTCTCAAGCCTTGTGGATATTATTTATAAATTTAAAAAGCTTTTGTTTCTTATTATCCCCATCTCAATTGCTTTACTTACAAATTATAGCTCTTAGTTCACTTGGCATAAAATGTTCTAATTATAGATTATGTACTAATGATAACACGATACTGAATTTATAGAAATACAGTACAAAATTGCTCAAATATTTCTTCTAAAAAAACAGCAGCAACATAATTAATTTAATCCCCTTATTCAATATCCTTTCAAACTAAATGTGAAGTAATTTGCCCCATCTCCCTTTAATTTTACTAAGGGTTCTGGTTGATATGTGCTATGAAATACCAGACACCTTTGAAAAGGATCAAACTGATACTTTGGAGAATACTTAACAGTTTTCAAATGCGTTTTTGGAGTGGTTCATAAGGCAGCCTGCCTCTCCACAGCTGGGGAGGCTGTGGACATACGGGCTGGAAATAAACACATGAGAAAGCTATGCACCAGCTCCCTTTTGCTGGGAATTCAACACTACTCTAAAATCTAATGCTGAAATAATAATAGCCTGATGTTTGCTCCAGAAATAGAACAATGATAATAATATTTTATATTAGAGAGATAAGGCCATGCTCTGAAACAAAAATGACCATTTTCAAGGGTTAGAAAGAGACTAAAAATATGCTTGGCTGGCAGGATTGCTCAGTGGGTGAAGACATTTGACAGTGCAAGCCTGGGGCACCGGAGTTCAAGCCCTGGAATTCACATGAAGGTGAGAGGACAGAATGGACTAGAAGTTGTCCTCTGACTCCACACATACAAGCCTCGGTATCCCATGTGCCTATTCCCACTTCACACATCATGCATAAACACAGATACATATAGTCATATTCAAATAGATTTAAATTGTGGAGCATCGTGTGGAGCCACAGAGCAGCAGCCTGGATCAGAGATATAGATTGCACAAGGTAGGAGCTCGATGCTAGAGGAAGTCAGGACAGAAGCATCTCCCAGAAGAGATAGGTCACTGAAACCGGGTTTGTGGTGAGAAGTAGAGGTATCAGATGCTTCCTGCCCCAGCGTGGAGCTGAAAACAAAGCCAGCTGAGGGTGGGGTGGGATAGAACAGAGTCCATGGCACATCCATGACCTGCACCAAGCCCGACACAGACCAAAGTGCCTAAGTCACTAAGGGGCACACACTGTTGCCTCCAATACGGGCTTGGCTCTGACCCAATAAAACACTGGGGACCAGATGGAGGCAGGTACAAAGCCGTCAAGGAGGGACACACTGGGGACCAGATGGAGGCAGATACAAAGCCATCAAGGAAGGACAGCAAGCTCAGAGAGTGAAAGGGAGAAAGTTTCCCACTTAAGGTTGACTTACACGAAAGTACTAACAAAAATGTTGAAACATGTGATATTATTTTTTAAAAAAAACTAATAAAAAGTCACACTGAAGAAGATAGAAATAGTAAACTAATTTGTAAACGACCAAAATGATAAATTTCAAAATCGTGGGGTCGTGGACATAATCATGTGACTCTGTGGTTAGACTGAATGCTTATGGCCTCTCCAAAAGAGTTCCCTTGTTGAAGTGCTGACCCCCAGTGTGGTGGTATTTGGAAGTGGGGCTTTGAGAGATAATTTGGGTTACACAGGTACTGAGAGGCAGAGATCAGACCTCCTTCGTGAGAAGACATACGGAAAGGCTGATGGTCCACAGGTCAGCAAGAGCCCTCAGCGGGGTCTGAGTATACAGCCCCTTGAACCTGGATTTCTATCCAGTCCAGGTGATTGTGTTGTAGTACCCTGAGCAGATTATGATGCCACACTACTACAGAACAGAACAGAAACTTCAGACGAGCAAGGAAACAGGATATTATAAAACAGGAATCTGGCTGTCACTGAGAAGTGCATTTAAACTTTAAAAAAGGGGGTGTTGGGCCAGTGGGCTGGTTTAGCAGGTGAAGCTGCCAAACCTTATCACCTGGGTTTGACCCCTGAGACCAACTTGGTGGAAAGAGAGAACTGACCTCTGTAAGCTGTTCTCTGACCAACACACGTATATATGCACACACACATGACTATGTCCCCATCACATAGATAGACAGACAGACAGACAGACAGATGATAGATAGATAGATAGGTAGATAGATGATAGATAGATAGATAATTGATAGATAGATAGATAGATAGATAGATAGATGATAGATAGATAATTGATAGATAGATGATAGATAGATAGATAGATAGATAGATAGATAGATAGATAGATAGATAGATAGATAGGTAGATAGATAGATGATAGATAGATGATAGATAATTGATAGATGATACATAGATAGATAGATAGATAGATAGATAGATAGATAGATAGATAGATGATAGATAGATAATTGATAGATAGATGATAGATAGATAGATAGATAGATAGATAGATAGATAGATAATTGATAGATAGATGATAGATAGATAGATAGATAGATAGATAGATAGATAGATAGATAGATAGATAGCAATTGAAAAGGATCAGTCAGAAATCCTGATGTGTGTGTGTGTGTGTGTGTGTGTGTGTGTGTGTGTGTGTGTGTGCGTGTGTTTGCTGAGATTAAATAAAGCTGAAAAGAAGCCTTAATAAACAGAAAAAGTACAGGCTAGTGTCAGGGAGCAGCCTCATGAAACACAGCTAGCATCCCATTCCAAGGGATGCAAGTGTTATTTCCAATCCCTCTGAGGCCAAGAAACTTTTAAGAGGCAGATTCTCTCTTTTTCAAAAATGAAGAAAATGATCTAGTTACCTGTTTAACCAGCAGCTTCCATACAGGCTGGATCTCCACCTCGATAGCGTTGGGCCCACACACTAACCTTCTGTGGGAGATTGACCATCTGTTAGTGTCAGCCTGGAAGCCCAGTGACAAGTGAGCAAGCACAAGCTGACCACAGGCCCCCCACTTCTCTGTCCTTTATGCATCTTGTGCCTTGATAACCACTATAGCCTCAATCCTAAGCCATGAATATATTCTTAAGATGAGAGTTGGTACATGATGAACAAAGTTGTTTTTTCCTGCTTCAAACTGTCTTTAATACAACTCAGTTAGTCAAAATGAAATTAGAAAGACATTTAAAAAAAACAATTTGATTACATCCTAAGAGCAGCTAAAAAGACACAGGTCTGAAGATACTCTTCGATTTATCAGGCATTCAATTTGCCCCGAGACATCAATGATGGTGTCTGTCTTACCCTGGCATCTTCCAGAGGAGGTCCCTCATATGTGAACAAATTCAGTGAGCCAGAGAAAGAACAAATTCCCAGGAAGGTGCTCTATGATTGTCACTTGCAGGTGTCTGCTTCCCACACAAGGTGCAGGACACATGTCCACCAAAAAAAAAAGCCCTCATGTTGGGGTTGTGTTTTATAATTTTTAAAGTTTTTGCAAAAGATTCATTTGATCCTTACAGTGTTCTATAGAGTTCTAAAGGGTGAATCTTACCAATAATAAAAGTTGTTCACTGTGGGCCTTTAGCCCAAGGGTCACACAGCTAATATTAATTATACCTATGGAACTTTTAAGTATCATATTAACAAACATGGCATATGATCATTGTTTATAAAGAAAACTGAAGTTCGAGCAAATTAAGTAACTGTCTCAAGTTCTTAGAGCCAGCAAAGAAGGCTACTCCCAATCATGGCCTCCATGACATCACTTCACAATTCCACTTCTGCAAATATCAACAGGGAGAGCCTACATGAGGGGCCTTTGGTCTTGCTATCATGTAACTCAGAACTGACTGAGCTCAAGTTGACTTGACTTTCAAAGCATGTTACACCAACTTTAGTTATTTAGTGCCACAGACAGAGATGACTTACATTAAGGTCTTCTAACTGTAATGTAGGTGGATGCTGAGGCTCAGGGGATGAAGAGGCAGAGAGGAAGAGGAGCCACACTGCTGTGTAAATTCATGAACCCTAGATCTCATTCTGGAACCTCAAAAGACTTGAACTCAAGCCAGGTTGAGTCTGTGACAATAATCAGTTATTGGCCAATTGTCAGAACCTCTCAGGACCCAAGGCTTGGACCACCTACCTCTCCCCACCCCACTTCTCACCCCCCACATAGTATGCTCGCCCCAGTCTTCCCTTTGTAAATGCTACTCAACCTTTTAAAAGCCAAACCTGACAACCTAGCCAAGTGGCTCAGAACTGTGTGAGTGAGCACACCCAGCTCCACACTCAGCAAGCTTCTGCCCTTGTTATTCCTTCTTCCTAGATCAGTTTCCTCGCATCTTTGCATGGCTCACTGCCTTGTTCCATATAAGTCTCTAAAAAGTAATTCCTTCTTGAGGTCTTCCATAACAATCCTATTTAAAACAGTCCCTCCCCTGGGCCAGGGGGTATGGTGTCATGGTAGAGCATTTGCTTAGCATGTGCAAGTCCTGGGGTTTGCTCCTTAGCACTTGGGGGTGGGGAGAACCCTACCTAATTTTCCTTAATTTCCTTAACCTACCTTATGATTGTCTAATCATAGACCTTATTTGTATGTATGTGTGTTCATGTGTACATGTGTGGGCTGGTGCATGTCCACGTCCACTTGTGTATGGGGAAGCCATAGGAAAGCTTTTATTGTCCTTCCTCAGAGGCTGTCCACCTGTTTTTTCAGACAAGGTCTCTCATGAAACACACCATGTGGGCTAAGCTGACTGGCTAGTAAACCTCAGTTCACGTCTCTAACACCTCCCAACACTGGGATCACAAATAAGCACCACCATGTTTACTCCCTTCACATAGATTCCAGAAATCACACACCAGTCCTCACGCCTCTGAGGCAAGCACTTTACCAACTGAGATACCTCCACAGCCCATACCTTATTTTTCCAATGTGTTTAACTGGCTGTTTCCGCCATTATAACGTAACCTTTTGCAGGACGCTAGTAAATCCCACAGAGCTAAAAATAGAGCCTAACGTATACAACGCAGTCAAGAATCATCTATTTAAATTAATGAATAGCCAAATTGGAGGTGGGAGGAAAACCTTGGTTCCCTCATCTGAAAAAAATGAACTTGATAAACTATGCCTAATAAAACTGTGATCAATATCTTAGTAGGATAAATATGCAAAGCAGTTGTCACAAGTGTGCCTAGGACATGGCAAATCCCTAATTAATGGCAGCTGTCTTTGAAGTGTGACTGTCTGATACAGTTAAATACTTTTTTTTTCTCTCCTTCAGCAACACTTTTTTAAAGTAACATCACTTACCTCATTAAATTAAAACTTATATTTACATGTTTTCCTCCTCAAATAGCTTCCACTGTTTTTAAAGGCAGAAGGAGAGCTTTTCAGATCTGTTTTTTTTTTCTAGGATCTGGGGCTAGACGTACCGTATGTTCTCAAAAATGTTGGAGTTAATGAAAATCATGGGGACCCATGTCTAGAGTACTTTCTCCCTGGACAAAGTTCAAAACCCCAATGCACAACTAAAGATATACTGAGGCTACAGAAACCCAATTGAGAACACAGCTGAGGGTCCGACACCCTTGGTCTCCCTGTCTGGTGAACTCGTTCCTGAAATTGCCATTGAGGGAAGCTTCGGTCCTGGAGAAAGGAAGGATGGGATGGTGAGGATCAAGCCTTGCCTGTGATTGACGCTTTGGGGCTCATTTGGGTCGTGATTAAATACCAGCCAGCCTATTCTTCACCGCTTTGCCAGGTCTACTGTCCTTTGCCAAGAGAAATTCTAGGATGTTTAGAGACTGTGTACCCATATCAGTCTCAGAGCTAGCCACAGAGAATTCTCAGGAATGTTGACCAATGGTGGAGCAACCAGAAGAAAGATTAGACTTGACGCCAAGTCACACAGGGAAAGGTCAAAGTTCTGTTCCACCACTAAAGATCTGATGAGGTGGCAGAGAAGAGAGGTTGAGACCATTCTGTGTGGCCTCACCAAACAGTGTAGGCCACACACAGCTAAGTCGGTTTCCCTAACATGCATCCGTCACTGTCCATTAGGGAAGAGGCTGCTGTGATGACAGAGAGCCCCTTCTCAGAGGATGGGTCTTGACCAAGTCCACAGCTGAGAACTCTGGAAGGGAATTTCATGCTCTCTGTGGTTTATGCTTCTGGGTTCACAAGGGATTTCCTCCAGTTCTGACATAATCAGATCTTGTGGAATGTATAATTCTGAAATGCCAAGTGTGAATGGTTAGGATTATTTTCCTTTGAGGGATAATCCATTCCCCCTTTCAATTAGCTTGTTTTTTTTCCTTTACTGATTCAAATGAATACATCAATATATCTCTCAAAAAGAATTGCTAGAGAGCTTGTGTGAGGCCCCGGAGCCCTGGAGGCTGGAGTCGGGGTCCTTATCAAGGAAGTAGGAATGAGCTACAGTCACTGGTACACTTCTGAAACTTCACAGCAGCACTCAGCTTTGCCCACTCTTTCCACTTGGCGTCTCTGGCAGGAGAGATCCCTACGGTTTTCCAAAGAGTCAAGGCCAAGCAGAAGATTCCACCGTGACTCATTTCTATAGGAAAGGAAAAGTCTGCTGGCCAGTTACTCACTCCCTTGAAACTCCCGCTTTACAAAGGGAGGGGGGGGGTCTAAGATGCACAGGCTATGATACCCTGAGCCTGGGATTTGGATATAATTCTATAGTACAGTAAATGGGTTGGTCCTAGAAATTCCCTGTTACAAAACACTATGGGTATGATTTGAGAGATTGTTTCCTGCAAGAAATTTCCCTGCTTATTAATGAAACAGTGATATAAAGAAACTACATGTCTCTAAATGACGTGTAATAACAGTTGTTTAGTTTTTCATCCTGGTCCTCATCTGTCATCTATCTATTTCTTTCATTTCCTAATGAAATGTGCTTCAGTTTCTAAATTACAAGCTTCCATATAGTCAAGGAAAGCCAGTTCATACAGGATTTTGGCCCTCGATATGAGCTAGTGAGGTGTTCCCAGGAGTCTCTGCTGATGGGGCATGCCTGAGCATCCCATATATGAACAGCATTCCATGTACAAAGGCCCAGATGGGAAAGAACCAGAAAGGGTATAAGGTATCGTGGTGAAGTTACATCAAAATCTAGGCATCATCTCCATCATTTCACCTGTAAGGCTCAGGACCTACACTCATTGCCGTCTCCACAGGGTTTTGCTCTAAGATGAGCACTGGATTTATTTGGTTTTATACTTCCAACAGACCCACACTCTCAAAACTGTGGGTCTGAAAATTCCAACTTATTAAAAAGAGACCATTGATCTCAATTTACTGATTTTTATCAACTTGTATTTTAAATGAAATGTAAGTAGTATTTTAAGATAACCTACTAACTCCTAGTTGAATGTTAGGAATTGAGATTATGTTTTTAGCTTCTAGAGAAATTAAGGTCTCTCTCCCATCCTCCAACAAGCCATTACTTGCTCCTTTCTAGAAAGAGGAGGAGGAGGAGGAGGCTGAGTGTGTGTGATTGAACCATTCTTTCAGAGTGCAACTTTCAAAGGCATAAGTGTAACTGTAATTTCTCTTTCAAGTTTCACTCCCATCAAGACCTGAAGTGTACTACAGCAAAGTCACATGGTAGTTCCAACTTCTCTTTCCTCCCCTCCTCCATTGGCTTTCCATCTTTCTTTCCTGTTCGTTACCCATCTTTTCATGAAATGGCTTCTGCTAGGTGAAGCTTCCATTGGTGTCAAATATAACTCTTTAGCTGCTCATCCCTCACATTCCTTTTTGGGGTCCCTAGCAAGCATGCCTGCTTTTCCTTAGAAGGGTAGGACAAATTAATTGAGTTTTGCCCTGAAGAACCACAGGATCAACTGGGAGAGGCTCCTCCCAACTTCTTTGGTGATGCCACACTCATGACACGAACTGGCTGTGGAATAAATATTCCCACGTAGAGACTGGCAAACTCTGGCTGTCAATGTTCTTATCTCTTCCTGAGTCACCTGTGAGGTGACTGTCTGGAGTTTACTGCCAGGCAGTTGCTTTTCTGTTTTCCAGAGCCTAAACAAAGAGTCAGGAGCCGGATGGGTGAAGGTGAAGGAGTACCTTAACCCTGTCCTAGGAAGAAAGACTAGCGCAGATCAGGTAGATGTGGTGTTTTCATAGGACCCCATTCTTGTGAAATGAATCACTCAGCTGTCAGTGAACCTGTCCAGGACGGCTATGGTGATGCAAAGCTGAGTCCCGCTCATGAGAAGTAGGGATTGGAGCAATCCAGTTCCTAAGTCCATTTACTTGTACATTTTTGATGCCTTCTGGCGCTTTTTCTCCCGGGTAAAATCAACTCCCCTGGTGGTCTGATAAGCTTTTGCTGCTGAAAAGTGAGAATTATGAACATCCTTCATCCGCTCTTTGCCAGGCTGCTAGGAACCCCACAGAGAAGTGTGCATTCAGATGCCGTAACGTGTCATCCTGTCAGATTTCTGCCTGCCCTCCTTGCTGCTTCTCTTGCAGTGAGCTCTTGTTTTTCAATGCAAGCGAGCTCAGATTCAGTTACTGAATTTGCATGCCGTCCAATCAATCAGTCACTTTTAATTTCTCTGGAAAGGCCCCCCAGCTTACTCTAAGGAATGCAGGGGAAATGTGCCCCATCCACCGACTCTCTTTGTCCTTCACTCTGGCATGCCCACAAGATAAAATATGCCTCTGCTTATGAGATTATTTCTCGATTCTTCATGTTTGGGATACCATACTCTGTCTTGCTTATTAGATTGTCAAGTTCTTTACTGTGTGGACCACATTTAAATTTAATTATGTATGATGTTTATTAAAGCTTGGCATTTGATAAATAAGGACAAATGTGAGCTAGCTACCCCACTGGGGAATCTTTCTTGTGGAAATGGTTTCTTGTGCAGAATGTCTCGACATCTATCATTAAGATCTCTAAAATGTTCTAGATCAATCCTCTAAACATTTCGCGCTAAGTATTACTAACTAAGTTTCATTTTAATGACTTTGAAAAGTTTCGTATCTCAGCATATTAAACATTCATCTGAAATCTTACATAATGATACCATTTCTAAGACATTTTGCAGTATTGTCTGGTGTCGTTGCCTGCTTCGTTTCTCGTGGTATTTCCACAAAGGAAAAACTGAAACCAGTGCTTCATGATTCTTAGACTTTGTATAAGGGTTCTGGTAAAGGCTCCTGCTGCCTAGCCTGCTGACCTGAGCTTGATCCCTGCGGCTCACATGGTAGGACAGAGAACTCCCTCCTGCAAAGTGTCTTCCGAACACATGCTTTGTAGTGCTTATGCTACCACATGCATGCACACAAAATAAATGAATATTTAAAATGTAATGAAGAGGCAGTGTGAGGCACTTGCTAGAATTCCAGAGTTCTTTGTCTCGTATGTACTCTCTCACTCCCACAGAACTCTGAGAGCTGTGGGAGTAGAGCCCAGAAGCAGTCATTCAAACAATACGTCTCTTCTTAGTTTGACAGTTGATGTTTCTGGTGGATCACAGTGATGCCTGGCAAATAATGTCCCTAAAAGTGTCTGAGAAACTAAAGGGATTGTTAAGATTATCAGAAGGGCTCAGCTGTTTCCTTTGGGGCTCGCCAGGATCGGCCATTTCAAACAGGAGCTGAGGGAAGCAGGGACTTTCCCCTCTGGCTAGTACATTAAGTGAACATCTCCTCCTCATCTCCGGCAGCCTACAGACACTAGCCTCATGATCACCCCCACCCCACGCCCATCAACAACTATGTCTTTCTCTTTAGATCACTGGTCCCTTGCAAAGTACCTGGCATGTCAGAGACACACAGATAATAAATCAGTGAATACCATCATTTATTTGTTTCTTCTGCAAAACACCTGTTGAGCTCCTCTAGCTGGCCCAAGCCTGACAACCATGGCTCTGGCAGGCCTTGCCCTTCCCCCATTCCCTCTGCCTTGCTGAACTGTTAGATTACATTCCCAAAGCTAGCCACCAAGGTCTATTCCCTTATTTGGCCACTTCATCCTCTGAGGCTGACCACCAAGGTCCAGCTATTAAAGTATTGAAGTCCAGCAATCAAAAGCCCCCTTTTGGCTTCCCTAATTAACATGCCCAGTTGAAATTAAACACCTCATCCTAACATGAGGTTTCCCCCTTTCCCTTTATAAAGAGCCATTTTCCTATGTGCCATGTGTTTCTCCTCTCTCTCCAGAGGTTGTCCTCTGTCCCTCTGGGGCAAATCTTTGTGCTGAGAACTTGATCTTGGGGTGTCTTGTGCCAACAACTTTGAGGTCCTTTCAGTAAGGAAGGGACCCACACACGCCAGGGCGCTCCCTCTCCAACCCTGGATTAGGCACAAACTATTACCTAAATAAATGTATGTTTTCACAGAGAGTCTCTATTAAGTGGGGAAGAAAAATGAAAGTGACTGCTTTCTAACTCAGGCAGAAAACAGCAGTAAATGGCCTTGCAGGTGTGGTTTTTTAAGAGGAGGAAGGAAAAGGGGATGCCTGGGTTAGAATGGCCTAGGATGCGGTGGTATGTTTTGATTGGGCATATCAATTATGTGAACCAGTGGGGGCGTTTGATTTCTGGACTTCAATACTTTGATAACTGGACCTTTGTGATCAGCCTTAGGAATGAGTCTGGCATAAGAAAGTGTCCAAATAAGGGAATAGAGCGTGGTGGCTAGCTTTAGGGATGCAATCTGTGGTTTACAAGGGAGAGGGAAGGGAGAAGGGCAAGGCCTGCCGGCTCTATGTTTGCCATGGCCAGGCCTGCTGGAGCCCTTCATGCCTATCATGAGCCCAGGGCTATTCTAGGTACCACATACACAACACTGAATAACACAGCCAAGTCAACAATGGTAAAATGGTTATCTCCACAGCTGCTTGTTCACAGTAAAGTGCAATCTGAACAGTGTCTTTCCAGTTCTCCATCAATTTGGGAGGATTAAGAAGCCAAGGTTTATGAAATGACTCAAGATTATTAAAAAGCCTATTCTACAAGCCTGATAGAAAGGGCTGCATTTTACTTGATCTATTTTGCTCTTTTGGTGTCTTTTGAAATAAGTTTGCCTAAGGAGAGAATTTACAGTGTCTTTCTGATGCCAGCAAATGGCACCAAAGCGTTGTGCCAGCAGCACGCCAATGAGGGTCACGTCAGCAGAGTTCCCCTCAGCAAGCATTACGAACCTACCTGACCTCTTGCTCTTCACTGGTCAGACCCAGTCCAAATGTATGGTGGATGTCGAAGCAGGAGTTACTGTCTTCCAGCAACCTAGAACATCATTGGGATAGGAACCACACATCAGTTTACAGTACCAGTGTAGTAGCCAGTGTTCTTCAGCTGTGTCCCGAGGTAGTGGCGAGAAAAGGCCGTACTTACCCAACTTTCTGAAACCGCTTCTCCAAGAAATCCCACACGTACCTGATTTTCTGCACTTGGATGCATAGTAGCTGCAACCACAGTGGGAAGGAGCAGGTGTCATTCACAGAGGAAAGCTCGTCAAATGGGACTTGGTCAAGCATTCCCATGGGGGTCTCACACCTAGCTATCAGTCCAGCCGAAGCGTGTTATAGTCAGAGCTCTAACCAACACACACACACACTCTATTTTGTCTCCACAAACGTACCATAACATCCCACACGTAAGATCTCTTACTTTTAATTCTGGCTTCATTACAGCTTGGTTTATGACCGAGTGGCGGTCCGCCACCAGAGGTTCCGCTGGGTTCTTGCTTATAGGAAACTTTAGTGTGGATAAGTGGAGGCAGAAGACTTTTTTCCTGATGTATCTTCGAAATTCATCCTTGAAAAGTCAGTAAACAGAGAGGAACAATCTCAGATCTCAGTCAGAATGCAAATTCTTAGGTCCTCTCTAGACTTGACAGGAAGTGGAGTCAATAGTCTGTTCCAATGAGCCTTCCAGAGGCTTCCGATAGACACAGAAGTTTGAGAAATACTGGACATGGGAAAAAAAGCTTTGTAGGAAAGCATTATGTCTAGAAATTTTCCAAGATGATTGTATTTCTTTTTTATTTTATTTGTTTATTTATTTTGAAACAGGGATTCACTGTAAATTCTAGACTGGCCTCAACCTCTTGGCTAGCCTGCCTTAGCTCCCCAAGTGCTGGGACCACAAGTATGCACCACCACACCAGGCTCTAGCTACTGTTAAATAATTCCTACAAGCTTAAATTATCTAGTATACTCCAAAGCATGAATTTTTAAAAATTGAACATTCCCACATTGTGTGGTCTCTGAGAGTTGTAACAATGACAACCACTGCCCAGGCAATGGCAAGGAGCAACATCCATCAGCCTAAAACACCAGAGACTCCCCCAAGCTGAAGTGAAGGAATTGGCAGCATTCCTGGGCTGCACAAGAGATAACAAAAAGCCTGTAAAAGTAGTCTTTGCTCCCCCTGTTCTGGCCTAGCTAAACTGTTTGAATGGATGAGATCTTCCCTCCAAAACACTGACTAGACATTGCTAGACCACAGATGCAGTGTTGAAGATGTGATCATGGTACTTTTTTTTTCCTTTAAAAGTCATATTTAAGTTTTTAATTGAGATAAGGTACTTGCATGTATTTATGGGTCTTGTATAGCTATTTCCTCTGAACTGAAACATTCTCTCCACCCGGGCAGTGGTGGCACATGCCTTTAATCCCAGCACTTGGGAGGCAGAGGCAGGCAGATCTCTGTGAGTTTGAGGACAGCCTGGTGTATAGAGTGAGTTCCAGGAGAGGCTCTAAAGCTACACTGAGAAACCCTGTATCGAACCCCCTCCCCCCCCACACACAAATCTCTCCTTTAAGACTCAGGAAATAAATAAAACTCACAAGTCTGAAGAAGTTCCTGAAATTTACAAGATTCCGGAGGCCCCTCCCATTGGCTGTAGAAGCACTAACAATTGCCAGAAAGAAAATACTTTCCAACTTTCCTAGTTGTTTGCAGATAAAGCAAAGAGCTCTAAGAATGGGGTGGGTTTTTCAGTGTTGCAGCTACTATGAGTCACCCATAATCCTATAAGTAGTGTGTGTGTGTGTGTGTGTGTGTGTGTGTGTGTGTGTGTGTGTGTGTGATGTATGTATGCGTGTGTATAATATATAATACAATTCCAATAAATGGACTGGTTCGCTAGCTAGACTGGGGTGAAATCATTTCTTTGGTCTGTTGTTAATGAATAGACAACTATTCATGTCTCCCCAGGAACACTCCCACAGCAATGGGGTATGTAATGAATTTTAAATATACTATACTGTATATAATGATGAAACCAGGGTAATTGGCCTCTTAACCACTTCAGAAATTTACCACTTCTTTTTGCTGGGAACATTCAGAACACTCTCCACTAGCTATTTTTACAATTTGCTGCCAGCCACATTATCCTATGGTGCTATGAGATATTAGCAGGTAGTCAGTCCCCTATTCAATTGTAGCCTTGTGCCTACTAATCATTTCCCCTCTCTCTCTCCTTCCCCTACTCAAGCTCTGGTAATCATTATTCTATAATGTCAACTTCATAGCTGTCAACTTCATAGCTTCCACGTGTACGTGAGAATCTGCAGAATCTGTCCTGCTGTGATGATCATGGCATTTGAAATGGATAACAAAAAAGTACTCACTGTTGTCCTCAGCAAAACTGTGTCTGCTTCTTGCAAAGGGCATGGGATGCAACTGGTCCAAACCCACCACTCAGGCTTCCAATAGAACATCAACTGAAGGGCCCCAAGAGTCAGGACGGCTGAGACAAAGCACAGGGCTCTCCGTAGATTCTGGGTATGGTAGCCAAACACCTCCTGAATAAGAAATAGAGCATCCCATGTTTCAGTAGTCACATAAACATCATTTTGATTCTAGGGATACACGCTTTAGATACAGAGTTATTGGATGAGAGAGAAATCTGGCATCAGTTGGTAGAATCAGGTTGACTGCAGCTGGCAGCGGATATAATAAAAGGAAAGAGAAACACAAGCCCTCCTCCTGCCCTGCCAAGTGAAATTAAACATTATACAGAAGGAAAAAGGAAGATCTACCTGCTTCTATGCATTTGTAAGAGGCACCTCAAGTGTTTATAATACACTTCATGTTTTAAAGCAGATTTATTTTGTTTAGGTATTAAAGAAATTGTTAATATTAAAGAAAGCAATTGAGACAGACATGACCCACAGATATCCACCTTTATCTATGCTCACATTTGTTTATAATGTTAACTGAATGTGTTTGAAAGTATGAATAAATGTATTGTTTTCTAAACCAACAAAACATAAATTGATGGGCTATCTGCAGACATGAAAGATTCTTAACGGGTCAATTGCACTTACTTATTCTTTTTAAATTATGTTTTTATTATTTAAGACAATTTTAAATTTAATGATATTTTGATCATATTCTTCCCCTCTCCCAAGTCCTTCCAAATCCTCTCCCCTCCCTAACCATTCAGCTGTAAGTTCTTTCCCCCAAAAAACTAAAACCCAATACAACAATAAAACTAAGGAAACAAAATAAAACCCCCTCCACGAAAAAAAAAACCACCAATTTGTAGTGATATTTCAGTTGTTAACCTTTACACTACTGATTTGTTTTTTATTCATTCATTCATTCATTCATTCATTCACTTTTTTAATATAAGAAAATAAAATATTAGATAAGATAAAACAAAAACTATCCCATCGAAGTTGAGAAAGACAAATCAACAGAGGTAAAAGAGCCCGAGAGAAAGCACAAGATGAAAGACTCACTCGTTTGCACACTCAGGAATCCCATAAAAGCACCAAACTGGAAGCCGTAATGTGCACTCCGAGGACCCGGTGCAGACCTGTGCAGGCCCTGTGCACGCTGCCTCAGTCTCTGTGAGTTCATATGAGCTTTGCTCATGTTGACTCAGAGGGTCTTGTTTCGTTGGTGTCCTCCATCCCCTCTGGCTCTTACACTCTTTCGGCCTCCTCCCCCACAGAGTCCCCTGAGCTCTGAAGGGAGAGATTTGGTGGAGACATCCCATTTAGGGCTGAGTGTTCCAAGGTCTCTCACTCTCTGCGTAGTGTCTGGCTGTGGGTCTCTGTGTTTGTTCCCATCTGCTGCAGGAAGAAGCTTCTCTGATGATGACTATTGATAAGGCACTGATCTATGAGTATAGCAGAGTATCATTAGGAGTCATTTTATCACTATAGTTTTTTTCTTTTTTTTTTTTTTTTTTAGACAAGTATTGTTTTGTTTTATCCTAGATCCCTGGGCTATCTAGTCTCAGGTTCTTGGTTGCCCAAGCAGTTTGGGAATGGGTTCCATCATGTGGAGTGGGTCTTAAGTTAAATCAGTTGCTAGTTCATTACTCATGAAACTGAGAAGTTTCTGAATACCAAAGGACACCATCATTAGGACAAAGCCGCAGCCTTCAGAATGGGAAAAGATTTTCACTACATATCTGGTAGGGGGCTAATATCCAAAACATATAAGGAACTCAAGAAAACAGATATCAAGAAAACAAATAACCCAATTAAAAATCGGGTATAGATCAAAACAGAGAATTCTCAAAAGAGGAAAAGCTCAAACAGCTGAGAAACACTTAAAGAAATGTTCAGCATCCTTAGCCACTGGGGAAATGCATCAAAACTAATTTGAAACTTCATCTTACACATGTCAGCATGGCTAAGATCAAAAATATAATGACAGCTCATGCTGGCAAGGATGTGGAGCACAGGGAACACTCCTCTATTACTGAGGGGAGTGCAAACTTGTTCAGCCACTATGGAAATCAGTGTGGTGGATCCTCAGGAAGATCAATCTACCTCAAGATCCAGCTATACCACTCTTGGGCATTTACCCAAAGGATGCTTCATCTTATCACAGAGACACTTGCTCAGTGATAGTCATTACTGTTGTATTCGTAACAGCCAGGAATTAGAAACAACCTAGATGTCCCTCAGCAAATGAATGGATAAAGAAAATATGATACATTTATACAATGGAGTATCACTCATCCACTAGGGAAAAAAAATTACATCATGAAATTTACAGGCAAATACATAAAACTAGAAAAAAAATCATCCTGAGTGAGGTATCCCAGACTCAGACAAATATGGTATATATCCACTTATATGAGGATATTAGCTGTGAAGTCAATGATAATCAACCTGCTCTCTCTCGGGCTCTTTTACCTCTGTTGATTTGTCTTTCTCAAGAGGAGAGGTTATAGAGTAAGGGACTGGACCAGCAGTTTTACCTCTGTTGATTTGTCTTTCTCAAGAGGAGAGGTTATAGAGTAAGGGACTGGACCAGCAGTTTTCAACTTGTGGGTCACAACCCTTTGGGGATTAAACGACCCTTTCATAAGGGTCACATATCAGATATCCTGCATATCACATATCGACATTACAATTCATAACAGTAGCAAAATTACAGTTAGGAAGTAACAACGAAATAATTTTATGGTTGGGGGGTCACCACAACATGAGGAACTGTATTAAAGGGTTGTCACAGCATTAGGAAGGTTACTGAATACTGGACTAGAGGGAACAGATCTCATTAGGAAAGGGCAATAGAATAGATAAATATGGATGGGGAGCTGGAATGGGAGGAATGAGTGGGGAGAGGGAGGGCAGTAGAGTTTGTGGGAGACAATTCAGGCAGAGACAGGTAATATTAAGGGTCATTTGAGGGGTAGTATGAAAACCTAATACAGTGGAAACTTATGAAAATATATACATATATGGAGGTAATCTAAAAGAAATGGTCAAATATTGGAGAGACAAAGACCAAACTAGATATCTGCTGTCACCAAATGAAGCTTCCAGTAGTGAGACTGAATTACATCTAATTGGGTTGTTGGCCAAAGGGCCCCATGTGACTCCATAAACAACCCAGGCTGTTGCCAAAATTATAAATTGCTTTCCACAACCTGACAGCAAGGCCCCATTGCTGATGACAACACCTTCAAACTCATTGAAAATGGAGATGTCACCAGGTGGTAGTGGTGCACACCTTTAATCCCAGCACTTGGGAAGCAGAGACAGACAGATCTCTAAGTTCGAGGCCAGCCTGATCTACAGAGGGAGTTCCAGGACAGTCAGGGATACACAGAGAAACCCTGTCTCAAAAAAAAAAAGGAGGAAGAAAAGAAAAGAAAAAGAAGGTGTCTACATAGAACCTTCACCCTTACATTCCAGCACCTTTGATACAGAAAGGTCCACTGCATGTTCTCAAAACAGAAATGCCATAATCACCAAGCCAGCCACAAAACTTTTATCCACAATGTTGTACTGTCTGCAATATATGCTAGGGCACTTACTTATTCTTAGAATAACATGCTGGGGTATTTGTACCTTTAATAATAGGTTGACTAGCTTGAACTGTTTGGGAGGCTACCAGGCAGTGGGACCGGGACCTGCCCTTAGTGCATGAGCTGGCTGTTTGGAACCTGGGGCCTATGCAGGAACATTTTGCTCAGCCTGGGAGGAGAGGACTGGACCTGCCTGGACTGAATCTACCAGGTTGAGCTGAATCCCCAGGGGAGTCTTTGCCTTGGAGGAGATGGGAATAGGGGGTGGATTGGGGAGAGGGCGGGGAGGGGGGCCGGGAGGAGGGAGGACAGGGGAATACGTTGCTGATATGTAAAATTAAATCAAATTATAAAATTTAAAAAATAAATAAATAAATAAAATAATAATAGGTTGGCTAATATTTGTCATGAATTAAATGAATTTGAGATTTGTTTTAATGGGAAATAGCCTTGGTAATTTAAAACCAAATTTCAGTCTCTACCATTTTCAATGAGGGCTCACAGCATGGTTTTATATTCCAGAAAAACAAACTTTTAGAGTACTTCGAAATACCTGAGGGACACTGATTATTACAGTTGGGTTACAAAGTGTCACCCTACAGGAAATGCTCATGTGTTGACGACTTTGTTTTCAGGAGCACAATTGAGAGATGATTGGGTCATAAATGTATTTGCTTCATCAACTGATTAACGTGTTGGCGAGTTCTTAGCTGAGAGGGTTATTGGGGAGTAGAGCCTGGTTGGAGGATGTGGGTCAGTAGAGGTTGTGCTATTGAATGGTATATCTTACAGACAGAGATAGTTGGGGGGAGGGGGAGAAGGAGGAAGGGGAGGGGAGGGGGAGACAGAGGAGAGGGGGAGAGGGAGAGGAGGATAGGAAGAGGAAGAAGGAAAGGGAGGAGAAGAAGGAGAGGGAGAGGGAGGGGGAAAAGGAGAGGAGTTTTCTGACTTTTCTAGATGCCATGAGATGAGCAGCTTTGCGCGGACTCTCTGCCATGTTCCTGCCTTGTCACAGTCACAGACTTCAAAACAATGGAACCAGACAACCATGGACCAAACCTCTGAAACCATGCACCAACACCAGTCTTTCTTCCTGCAGCTTCTTTACCTCAGGTATTTTGTCACAGAAATGGACACTCACTAACACAGAGATAAACGTATGGTATAAGCTATACAATGGATTTAAGCTGACCTGGGAATTTTTGCTGTTTTTTTCCAACAACTCTAAATTCCCATGTCCAAATCACAGAGTTGTAATATCAGCACAACAGATTTTTTTTACTATGTTTATGGAGTGTTTTTAATGATAAAAAACCTCTTGGATTTTATGCCAGTTTAGATCATGCATCACATAACAAATCTCTTTGCTTAATTCTTTGGGAAAGTATTCATCTTCCATATGACCTTTTTTTTATTAGTTTTTCCTAATAACTCAGTGGTAGATAAAGAGTATAATAAGAGTTGTTGAAAGCAACCCTAAGACAGAGTAGAAAAGTCATCAGTTTACAAAGTAAGATGTCAGTG